TGATCATATGACCTTCCTTTGCTCCACCGCTATTTACCACCCTTGCGCATCTTGGTAAGATGCGCGTCGTCGCAAAGAGCGACCAAGGTACGGAGTACTCCGTCCTATCGGCTGCTGCTGCTGCTGCACAAAAAAATGGCATCTACCCCCTTTCTATGAATGGGGTCAGGACACTGTTGTCACAACCTCATTTCGTCAAAGATGCCCAGGTCATGTGAGACATTCCGCATTCCTCAGCCTCCGCAATAGTCGGAAGCATTGGGATAGGGGCTTGTAGTTTCAGCGTCAATTTCATTCCCTGTCAACTGGCGTACGTAGCCAGTTGTCAAGCCATCTGGTGCTGCAATAACTCCGTACAGCCTTTGTCCCATTGCGTCGGAAACAAGATGGATGCCGCCATGCATACCAAGGCACACCAAGGCACTCACACAAGCCTGGAGAGCTGCCATGATGTGAGACAAGCGAAGCCCAAGCTTTCGTGCAGGATGAACAATCGCCTCTGCTTGCAGCTTGCAGAGAAGGGAAGGGAAGGGAGGCTCCACTGACGCAACGCAACCCTCCTCTTCTCCAGCAGAACCCCGGTTTTCGTGACGCGAGAAGCCCAACCGACACCGGTCTGAGATCTAGTTGCCGCCGCATTCGCCACCTCGTTCCCCGGTGCCGCTGCCAGTAATGGCTCTTGCTCAGTGTGATCGCCGCGATGGAGACCTTCGGTGTCGCGTGTACGGAGTAAGGCAGCGCGCTTCTAGGGCTGGGGAAGTTCTGCCAAAACGCCACAAGCCTTCTTCGGACTCTATTGCGGCGCATTCGTCAGCAGAGCGGCAGCTGACCTGGAACGTGAGAGTACGGACTATGTACGGAGTACCACCACCAGGGCCGAGGACGACAAACGCCGGAACTGCTCATCTCACGGCCTCCGCCCCAGTCGCCATTTGTTATTAATAGCATTGAGTCCCCCGGAGGCCCCGTATCAATCACTCTTCTCGCTTGACCTCGGTGCCGTTTCGTCGTTCTTTTCAAGCAGCAGGCAGTGACTTACAGGCTTCGTGCAACGTCACACAACACCGCTCCGGAGTCATTGACATCCTTCACAGCCCACAAAAGATAGGATTTCATCCACAGCAGTTCGAAGTACTGTACACAGCAGAGTTGACTACGGAGTACGGAGTAGACAGCTCAGAACTGACACTTCATCAGCAAGATCGACGGTACGGCTCAGCCAAGACCAGGACGTGCGTTATCCATTTGTCGAGACCTGGGCAAACGGGCAGATCCCGAAACCCCGTCGTTAGACATCATCCATCAGCCAGGAGCAGCGAGTCGAAATTTTTTTTGCCGGCTTCCAGAAGGAGGGTGAACGCAGTAGGGAAGCCACGTCGAAAAAAGAAAAAAGTTTCGCCTCACAGCCATTGTGTCCCTGCCCGGACATCCCGCCGAAAGAACCCTGACTAGGCCCTGCAGTAGCGCAAGCCAGGTTCCCACGCGCCGCCACGTCCGACCCAGATTGACACTCCACCTTGGCTCCAACGATCCCAGTCATCTCACTCATCCCAGTCGCCCAGGCCTCAGGTTGCACCGCTCTTCTCCACTGCATTTTTACTTACAGTACCTTGTTGATCTGAACAAGCCAACTGTGCTCAACTGTGCTCAACCGAAGGTCCTCGCAAGTCTGGACCCCACCCAGCCGTTGTCTTGACTCCTAGAGACATTCATTCGTATATCAGGACCTCTTCCTCACCCCGAAAACAAGACTCGCCTGGCTCTCTCTTTTACATCCCGTTGTTTAGCTCTCCAGATACCCGTCCCGTCCTCCCCTCTGCCCGCTCTCCAAGGCTGTTGCTGTTTGACAGACTTTTGGACCTTGTCCCTTCACGCAACACCCTCCTCCTAACACTCAGTCTTATCGCAATCAACATCAATCACAATGTCTTTCGCTGCGCGAAACGCCCTGCGGCTCTCCCGAGCTGCCTCTCCTCGCATTGCCGTCCCTCGACCTACTGCCCGCCTTTTCTCTGCCTCCCGCATCAACGCCGTATCCGACACACCTCAGAAGAAGAGCGTTGTCCGCGAGAAGGAAGTACCAGTTACTGTCTACGGTGCTGGTCAGGGACAAGGGGATAAACACACTGTTCACGTTCCTGAGGACGCTGCTCAAGTCCCCTACGACAGCCCTGTTCCTCCTGTCGAGTATGATCTCGTTCAGCCCCTGGGTAAGAAAGTCTACGAGGCCATGCCTCACACCATGCGCAACATGAGTGTCTACGGCAAGGTCATCATCATCACTGGTGGTGCTCGTGGGCTGGGCAACCACATGGCCCGCGCCTGTGCCGAAGCTGGTGCTAAAGCCATTGTCATTTTCGATGCCAACCAGGATCTCGGTGACGAAGCTGCTGCCGAGCTTCATGACAAGTCGGGTCTTCCCGTCTCCTTCTTCAAAGTGGATGTCCGCGATGGGGCCGCCATCAACGCTGCGGTCGAGTCTGTTGTTGAGCTCTATGGTGCTCCCGATGTCCTTGTCAACTCTGCCGGTATCGCCGATTCCAATATCAAGGCCGAGACTTACGACCCTGCCATGTTCCGCCGCCTCATTGATATCAACCTCACTGGCTCCTTCCTCATGTCCCAGGCTGTTGGTCGCGCCATGATGGCCGCTGGTAAGCCTGGTAGCATCGTTCTTGTTGCCTCCATGTCCGGTTCCATTGTCAACTACCCACAAGAGCAGAGCTGCTACAATGCCTCAAAAGCCGGCGTAATCCAGTTCGCCAAGTCGATTGCTGCTGAGTGGGCCAAGTACAAGATTCGTGTCAACTGCATCTCCCCTGGTTACATGGACACTGCCCTGAACCGTGTTCCCGCCCTTGAGGCCCAGAAGAAGATCTGGAAGTCCCTGACTCCCCAGGATCGTCTTGGTGGCGTTGACGAGCTCAACGGCCTGTGCGTCTTCCTCGCATCCGACGCTTCTAGCTTCATGACTGGCTCCAACGTTATTATTGATGGTGGCTATTCCTGCTACTAAGCAAGTTGTTGTCATGAGGTGTGCCTCAACCTTCTTTTCTTCACAACATATACATACATTCTACATAATGCTCTGGAGGATCACGCTCTAGAGGACCAAGGTCGGAGAGCACTGTGTCTGACACAGCCAGCTTTATAAAGGCGGCGATTTACGTCAATGTCTCTTAATCATCATACCTCAGAGCCCACTTTATACTGCGCATGAGGAGCATTTCGGGCTGCAAGACAAGCCATGCACACATTTCCATATGCATCTTTCACTGTTTGGCGTTTACGGAATCTCATTTGTCAATGTCATTGTCATGTTCACATTTTTTTTTTTTTTTGCATCGAGCCCGGGCTTTATTGTGATTTACCAAAAAATGCCCAAAACTCACGGTCATGAGGATAGAGACCGCTTGGGAAACGTGATAGATCTGAAGCGAAAGACTAGACGCTCTTTAGAGTAGTCGAATATTGAAACTTTATTAACTGTACTGATCAATGCATGTGCTACTATGAATTGTCTGAGTTCTGCTTCAATGGTGTGTTTGTACTACTTGACGTGTTTGTATCTTGCGACAGGGGCATTACAAAGTCAGCGTGCCTACCTAGGCAGTTGAACGATTGACTTGACGGATCATGAGTAGATCTTGATTGTCCTTCCGTTCAACGCACATGTGTATGTGTGTCTGACGCATGCAAGATTGAAATACAACCTGACTTATTATAAGACACTGCATGCGTGTCATGCATGCCATATCAGCAGTACGCCACGGGAACCAAGTCACACAAGCATGCTACGGTGGATGTGCTTTTTTCACCTGGGCTCAAAACAGAGCTCACAAGACGGGATATCACAACCATTGGATTGAACGCAAGTATCAAAGTGACCCGAACCTCGTGCCATTGCCCAATTTCCAATGCGCACTCTCTGAATATCAGCACATCTCCTGTATGCTTCCTACGCCCGCCGAGGCTTAACCTCTCGCTGTACGAAATCATCCCACCATGATACAAGACGCTCATTGGAGAAAAGACAAAGTGCCCCGAAACCGCTTTCGCCGGGGGCAATCATTCCCTCTGTTCCCAAGATGAACACGCTTCATAGATGCCCCCCAGCTCTGGTATACATGCCATGGTGAGTTCCTGTTCACACATAAAATCTAGTACTTGTTGATTCGCAGCAGCCACTTCAATCCTATCCCAAAATAACAATATATGCTGCCCATGCTCATGCCCACCCATTCATCCTTCCTCCCGTGTCAATGTTCGCCAACCGAGGCAGAAATAGGAAATGACCGCGCTCCCAGCGGGGGAGTTCTGAAGGTAGTCGTCGTAAAGTGGTAGTCGTAATAGTAGAAACCGGGAGTAAAAATGGCATCCAAAACGCTGATAACTAGTTCTTCTGTCACCAGAGAGAACGCATAAGAGCCCAAAAGCAGGTCAGGTGAGATTAGAGGACAAAAAAAAAATGTCAAGGCCATCAAATGCGCGCAGGTCTATGAAGAGGGGGAGAGGCGAGAAAGAGAAGGCGCGTGCAGGGCTCTCTATTCGTATCGAAAAGAGTTGATACACTGTTGTAAAGTTGTATTCTCGGGGGGTAATACCATTCGGGCGGTGGCCATTCAAGACATCGCCTTAAACGCGTGGTTCGCTAGTCGTGTGTTATGGGAAACTTTTCCTCCTATACATAAGTAAGACGCCATCGGGGTTTGCGCCGTACATTGCAAAACTACCCAATCCTCTCTTACCAGGTCGGTATTCGTCACCAGACGTTGGTTTTCTGGCCGGCCGACGATAGTTCATTCATCATTCCACCATCATATGTATCCTGGGTATTCTCGGCAATTGTGAAAACCAAATAACGTCGTCTTCCGCGTTTTGACCTGGGATGGAATCAAACCGCTGTTTCGTTTATGTGAAGAACATCAAAACAAGAAAAAAAGCAATGCTCGCTATGTGATATCGAAAAGCCATGCATCCTACTCAGACGCATAACCGATTTATTGCTTTCGCGCCTTCTCCTGAGCTCTTTGTTCTCTGGCGGCTCGGACGAGAGGAGCTAGTTGAGCTAGATCCACGCACTGCTTCATGAATTCATGCTAGAGAAGAAAGTCAGTTTGTTGTTTGCAAGCCCGCTGTTACTAGCCATTAACCAAAGGAAACCACTTACCCTTAATAGATCGTGGGCGCTCGCTCTCTTCTCAGGGTCTACCTTGAGAGCAAAGCAGAGGAAGTCCCTGAACACGTGTGAGAGCTCGGCTTCATTCTTGATCTGGGGCGTGCCATTGGTAGCAATCAGCCATAGGGCTCGAAGTGGCGATTCGGTAAGATATGGAGGCTCTCCTTCGATCATTTCAATGGCCATGATCCCGAGCGACCAAATGTCTACTTTGCGACCGTACTCTTTTCTAGTAACAACTTCCGGAGCCATCCAGTATGGTGTGCCAACCATTGTCGTTCGTTTGTTCTGCGCCTCATTGATTGTGGCACAAAAACCAAAATCAGCTATCAAGATGGGTCAGATAACATAGTCCAGTTTCACCCGGCGCCAAGGGTCAAAGCGCTTGTCACTTACTGAGCTTGATGCTGCCTTCGTTAGATAGCAGAATGTTGTCCGACTTGATATCACGATGAATGACGCCCTTGGAATGCAAATGTTGAAGGCCTTTTAGCGTCTCCCGGCATACAGATGCAATTTGTCCTTCAGTCATGATATTGAAGGTGACAACATCTGTCAGGCTGCCTCCTTCCATAAACTCCATGACGACCCATAGTTCACCTGCACAGAGGTAACTATCAATAAAGTTGACAATATTGGGATGTGAGCTGTCCTTCATGACCAGAATTTCGTTAATAATCAGGTCTTTCTTCGGTTGCTGCTCCAGATTCATCTGCTTGATAGCGACAAGTCGATTGGTGCCCCTCTCGAAGCCAGTAAAGACACCGCCAGACGCACCCTGGCCAATCTTTTGGAACCCACGGAAGACTTCCCGTGGATCCCCCTCGCTGCAGATTCGTTTGAGCGATGTAACCACGTCAATGCCGTTACTTTGGCGGGCTCTCTGTCTCGGTCTCGCGCCGGGCACCGCACCCGGGCCTGCCTGCTGGCGTGAAGCATTTGAGTGTCCATTAGCATCAACAGCTCGCGCGTAGGCGGCCGTCTGATGGGGAGCAGGTACTGACGCCTGGGGCTGCGGATGTCTCTTGCTAGGAGCCCGACCAACATGCCCAGACATTGCCGCTTGCGCTTGTGCCAAGGCCTGCTCATGTTGTTGTTGTACAAATTGCTGCTGCTGATACGCAGCAACTTGAGCAGATGATGGAGTCAGCGGGCTGTATGGCGATTGACCATTGGCACGGGAGTTGGATCTCGACCTATGCTCCTCGGGCAGCATGGGGGAGCTGTCCTTTGACTGTGGCGAGTAATCGTCGGGTTGCTGGGACAGACCAATACCAGAGTCCTTGGTGGGATACGCACTTGACGGTCCCGACCGGTTACTGATGCTGACGGGCGGCTTGGGAGCGGGCCGACTTGGCATCATGTCTCTCCCGTGACTTCTCGACGGTGGCACAGGCGGAGGAGCTCGAGGATTCTCAAAACTTCCTGTTTGTGGGATGCGAGTTAGTTTATGCCAAATAGCAACCCAATTGCGCAGAGAGGCCGCTTACCCATATAATTAGTTGGATACATGTTTGGAGAGGTAGGTGTGTTGTATGAACGGTTGTCTGCCGGTCCAGCATGGTGAAACTTCTCCAAAATCTGATCCTCGGGCGGGCGCTCGGTCGTCTCCTTGTAAAATTGTAAAATATCCACCATGGTCTGGGGGTTCTCCCGTCTCTCCTTCTCGGGAATACCACTTTCGTTTATCAAGCGTTGCCATTCCTTTGGCAGACCCTGGTTGGTGAGTTAGCATGGATGCACACTTGCCCGACGAAGCGTTGAGAAACAAGGGGGGGGCGAGGGCAGTCTAACAGTGAATTGTCCAGTGGCACTGTCGTATCCCACATGAGTAACATGAACTGGATTCTCCGGGGCTGAAATGGTGGGCTTCTTCTGTGACCCGACCAGACTGGTGACGAAGCCCGAGAAGCCCGACTTCTTGCGAATCATGGGCGGCTTTGAGTCCTTTCCCTCATCGGAATACCGCTTCGGCGCCGCTGCCGCGCCGTCGGGTGCTTTGCCGCCCTGGATTTTCTCCGTGATCGCGGGCTCCATGTTGCTGAAGCTCTGTGAGGCTCGGAGCGCGGGGTTCACGTTCCGCGTGCCAGCAATGGGCTTCGCGAGTGCGGGGGATGCTGGTGGGCGCTGGACAGACTCTCGCGGAGCCGTGTACTTTACCGACTCGATGCGGCTCAGGATGGCAGCGCCGTCAAAAGGCGCGCCAAGGAGGTCGTCGGAGGGTTCTTTGCTGTGCCGGCGAGCGAGCGAGTCGGACAGGCGATTTGGACGATGCGCGAGGGCTGGGTAGGGAGAGGCGGCAGGATTGCTGGGGCTGCTGAGACTGCTGGTGATGAGGCCGGGGCCGCTGGGCGGGTTGGAAGTGGCAAGAAAGTCCCCTTGGGCGATGGAAGGGGAGGCATTCGACGGCCACTGCGAGGCGGTCGGATGTCTTGGCGACGAGCTGCTCGAGGTGTTTGCAATGGAGGATCGGACGGCAGGGGCGCTGGGTGCTCGTCGAAGGCTCTGGGAGCTGCGTCTGCTGCCGAGCGAGTGGGAGTCGTCGAGGCCCGAGGAGGAGCGAGTGTATGTGTGTGAGGGGGGTTTCTTGACCAGCTTGCGACGTTGAGAATGGCCGTTGAAGGACGATGCCGGGCCGTCCATGATCCTGTCCGCCCTTACCTAAAAGGTCTCAGAGCAGGCAGCTGGCAGATGTAGGCAAGCACTTTGCAGAGGACCGAGCTGGGGCAGACGGGCGTGTGCGAGTAAGTAGACAAAAGGAAAAAGCGGTCCTGGCGGGCGGGCTGACGGCGAGGGCCAATTCGAGGTCTGTAAAATGGCGAGTGTGTGGGCTTGGGGCCTCGAGGCGAGCGGGTGGGCGCGCGGACGGCTGGCGTCGTTGGTGGAGGGAGGGAGGATATTAAGTTCGAGCGGTTAATTAGCGAAGGAGCAGAGTTGCATCCAACAGCCGAGAGGTCGGGGGGGAAGAGGAGAACGGGGTGAACGGTTGATGCTCAGGTGGAGGGCAGCCTGTCGTGAAACTCTGTGACACGATGACTGGTGGCACTTGTAGTAGGCAATTTACCAACGGCCAAGGTCAAGGTCCTCGTAAAGCTCGAAACAAGTCACGTCAACTTTTGCGGAGAAGAAGGCCATGTTCTGAGCAGAACGGAGATGGGGAGGGGGAGGGGGGAGACGACGGGGTGAAGCTGTCGACCCAAGACTCGGGAGTCTGGCTGGAGGCTGCCATGGCCAATGATGAATGGGCCATGGGCGATGGTTGATGATGGATGGTCAATTCTCTACTAAATCCTGGGTGCGCATTAACTCTGGAATTGCTCCCGGCCCAACAAGGCCCAGGTCTACGGAGTACGCTGGTACTGAGGGAGAGTGAAGCATTCTGGTACGGAGCACGGGGAAGGAAGTACCAGACAGACATGCATTGTGTAATCTGTCTGGGGACATGATCAATTGGAGACACTTTGCGGCGTTGAGGTACCCGATACTCGACGAGAGAATTGGCCCTGCAAACCGCAGGGTGTAGGTACTGGGTTGCTGAGACGGGTAAATATGTACACCACTGTACGAGTACCAACAGCAGTAGGGTCTGGTGCCTCAAATACACTGCTAGCACTGAACTATCAGGCGTGAGGTCTCCAACGTTGCATCCCAAAGTCCACTCACCTGGAGACCCAGAGGCGGTCGTCCGGAATGGCTGCATATACTAGGGTCCTGAAGTCCACTTGGGCAATAAATACCAAGTACTACCTGGCTACCCAGTACATATAGCAGGACGAAGAAATACAACGCCTGGTGTAATAACATTCATTGAACGAATGGGTCGGCGTGCTGGCTCGACTGGCACACCACATGTGCAGTTCAACAGCCAGTAACTGCAAAGAACCCACGTAAAGTATTTAGGTTAAGGTACTACTACTGGTGCCAGCGGACCTGAGCGAATCGGCCCAACGCCTAGGAGGGCATACATTAGCATGCACTACGGAGTATCGTACTTAGTAAGGTGCAGCACAATAATGCCTCAAATTGTTTAGGCTGGTTGGCATAACTTTTGCATCGACTTCACGCATTCATGCACTTTCTTGAGCGCCAACCAGGTAAGTAGGTACCCGGGTACTTGCTTCATGCTCAGGCCGTAGGGCTAGGGCTAGGTACCGAGGCACTTCGTACCCTGTGGAGGCTTCCAAGCTTCTCTGCCTTCCTTATTCGGAACTTGGAGGGGGCGAGGCCAGTCACGCATCAGTGGGCGTGGGCTGCTTGGCCTGGAGACTTCTTGTCAAACTGGTCGTCGTTACTACTTCTTCATCATACTATAATTACAAAATCCGGCTGCATCGAAACGTACCAACTCGGCCCATTCACCAAATTACACGCCGCGAACGCAGGGCGGTCTGAATCATGGTAATTCCTCCCGATTCCATGCAATGGCCAGGGACGTGGGATCCGCGCAGACGACGACGGCCGCTTGAAATTGAAGTTGAAATTACGGAGCAGCGAGGGCCACAATCAATCGTGCAAGGCTAGCATGCGGCCTTGGGGTTTGCGCTCTGTTCCAGCTAGTACTCTTCGCAATACGCAACGTGTCGCAGGGAACCGTCCAGGATCTGACTTTGGGCGGTATTTGTTTCGTACTCGGTGCGTGGCGTATTTTGACAGATTCTAATACTAGTATGACATCTAGCCATCTTTGCCTTCTATGTATGTAAAGGCGGCATCACCAGGGCCCCATGGCCCTGCTCCCGATTCCGGGATCCAGTCATGTCATTCAAAATTAATTATCCATCCGTTCTCATCATCAGGTTCTTCCAGCGAGGTGCACCTAAGCTAGGTAGTACACGAAGCATCATTGTGAGCCATCAGGCTCTCTACATGGGCAAAGCCTCATTGTCATATTTCCCAGGTGATTATTCTTCCAAGCCAAGTTCGGAGAACCCAAGCATAGAACAGCTGCTCATTCTATTCGAGGTATTTTCTATCGCCGCCGACCTTGCCTCTCAAGTTCCCTTGGTGAATGCCAGTCGTTTATTTGCCTCACACACGGAACGAAGCAACCCGAAGCTCCATCCAAGTGGTGGGTGTTTCCCGGATGGTTCCCACAGTGAGCATCGGGGCATGAACAACGCTCTCTTAGCCCTGAGATTCGAAAGGCCTCCGGGCCCCGTCTTGAATCACGGCCAGGCGAAGTCTTAGCCATATTTACAACCATACCAGTGATACCACGGATATTCTAGCATTGTATAGCCACCGTTACATCGAGGTTTGAGGCTGGGCGGGGACTCAACTCATTACTAGTCCGTACTCGTGCCGTATCTTGATAATGTGCAGTTTGGCATTGGCACAACATGCACAGGATTGGAATCTGGCAAGCGACTTGTTTCTCACTTGATAAAGTAACTCCACAATATGGATACCTGAATTGCCATGCAGGAGCCAAGCTAGTATCGAAATCAACAAGTGATCACCAATGATTGGCACCACGAGACCCTCCACACAACTACAAAAGCACCACCAGTCCTTTGTCTCAATGCTTTACATTTAAGTTGGTTCTTGGACGGCACAAAAGAATAGCTGAGAGATATATATTTTTAATTAAAAAAACGGGACTTATCGGGGGATTTTTGCCGTTTTCCAACAGTCCCTCCATCCCGAGCCGCCCCCATGATCCAAGATAATACATACATAACATCTTCACAGACGATGGCCACTTCCTTTTTCCGCTGGGGACGCAACGACAGGCGTTGCAGTCTCCCAAGACTGGTGTTTCATCAACACATGTACGGCCGAGGCTCAGTGGTCATGTCCATATCCCAGGGCGAAACAGGGGAAAGTCTCGGTATCCGTTTTTATTCACCATTCCCAAGCCTAGTGGCTTGACAGAATACCCGCCACGACAGCAGAGTCCAGTTACGATGGCCCAATAGTGGTGCGTGGTGTAGCTGGCGCAGGGACAGAGATAGCGCCTCATCCTCATTAGTCAATTTCTTTGTGCCATGTTGTCTACAAATTTCGTCGGGCTCGATGGTGGTGGTTGGTTCATGTCGGGTGGCTTTCTTCCTGATTGGAGGATGTGGCAACTATTCTGGATGAGCCCCGAGGCACAGAGAGAGCCTCATCCGACAAATACAATGGTTATCGAGCCAATGTGGACATGACAGCCACTCATCTCAGTCTGCAGACGCTCCTGGTTATTCGAGCAACGGCGGAAATTCCCGTTCAAGGCGGCCATTTTTGCAGGCAACGGCCGAAATACTGTGGCAGATCCCTAGCATCGTCCATATCCACTTGCAAGTTGATGTGGCACTATGGTTTCCATTCACCCGCGTGTGGAGTTGTCATTGTCACATTCAATTAGCACCGCCGGCAATGTGGTGAGAACCAAGTGTAAGAAAGACACAGCACGCCGCGCACGCACGCTGTTAAAAAAAAATGAAAAATGAAAAAAAAAGGAATCCCCAGTGCCTTTGCCAGACACGTCGTAATGTAATAGCGTGGGGCAAATCAAACTTCAATGGCTCATCATTGATGCAGCTGCAAGGTACAGCGTGGCATGCCATCCGTCCCTAGAGAAATCTAATCATGCTACTACTCCTCCGTACGGTACGGGCTGGACCATTCCCAAAGTAGGTTGGTGCCAGACTCCATACTGCAACTCACATCAGTTGACAATGCGTCAATGTCAAGCACACCATCAGCGTCCCGGTGGCTTGCTCATAATGACCCCGTGCGCTTCAAGGTAAAGGACCAGCTTCTTGCATGCGGACAATTGGGGGCCTTGTTTCAACTCAATCGGTTGTGGGCCGCTGCGAACCTTGGCCTAATACGGTGTAGAACCCTTTTCATGTGCATACTTTACTTGAGTACGTACTTGTGGAAGGCAAAAAGTATTTTACCAGATCAGGTACCGACTATCAAGCTCTATACTACAATACACTACAGCATACTAGTATATACTTCTCGTAGGGCAAATATATTCTGCCACGGACTGACTGTATGTACATACGTGCATATAGGTGCATGTCATACCTTGTACATGCGCACTCCACTCTCCCTCCTGACAATACGGGAACGCGGTCAAAGCCGTCTATCAAAGGACTACGTGTTGCTATCATAAGCAATATAGAAATTCTACTACCAACAGTTTGGATGCAGAATCCTGGCAAAATCTTCAGCATGGTGAGCCATCTGTCAGCCGTCGTCGGGTGCTGGCAGCCACCAACAGCTTATGGGCCAGTGACCGTCTCATAAAACAACATTGAAGCCAACAGCATGATGCCATGACTTGACTGCACACAGCATGGCAAGCAGAACAGCCCCTTTGCCGTCCGTCCCTGACTGCTCGATGGTATTCCCGTGGTTATACATATGACACCGTATTTCCTGTGCCTACACTTGATGCTATTTATACCTGTCGGGTCGACTGGCACGAGCGTTGCCCTGCACTATTTACGGGTCGGCCATGGTCAATGTTTCACCGCAGCCAGGGAACACGTTCATTATCTGGTGACACTTGGGTTTGAAAAAGTGAGACTAGTACATATATCTCACTGCGGGGGGGGACTGGTGCTGTCTTATATGGCGTGTTCAACTGCGGCCGTGGTTTTGCCCAATGGTCCGTGGTATGGACATGTCAAGCCAATTGGCATAGTGTTCGCAGATGAGTATAAGCACCATGTTGATGATATTTCATGTTTTCGGTTTCTTGGTTCAAGATGCGGTCCGAATTTCCTCTCTTATTTTTGCTTTAATTCTATGGTGTGTAGACTTAACTTAATATCCTGCCAACACATTTGAGACGCTGTGAAATTTATACAGCATTATTCTGGGCCCGATACCGCGGCATACTTCTCAGTGGGTTGGAAGGTGTTTTTTTGCTTGTCTTGTGATTGGGCAGGCAAGATATCGCAGCTGCGGTGACGTGTCAAGTTGAGGTTGAACGACCAATATGCTCATGGCACATGCCCTCCAGCTTCAGGTGACAATCCACGCTAGCAATTCAATGGAAGTAACTTACAAAAAAGGAAAGTTACAAAACATATAAACAAATCATCGACATTAGATACGCCCAATAGAATATTTTAACGACCGACGACTGACATCCATTGCAAAGTTGCAAACAACTATAGGGTACCTAATGAGTACCTAATGAGCCGGGTCACACGCCGGATCACGTGACTGCACCCACCAATATTTAAAAAAGGCAGTGTGCGAATGTAAGAGTACCATGGCACGAAGCTCGGAGTGGGGACAGCCTCCTGCATCCCTGCCAGGCCAGAAAACCACCAAGACGTCTCGTGGGGCTTACGGAACTTCCACCTCACCCTTAAACTGCTTCACGACACTCTGCAACTTGCCATCTTCCCCGGCATCAAAGCCTTTCCCCTACCCTCCCTGGTTCTTGCCTCTCCTGGTCTATCCCTCTGGTCACCGGTAATCGTTTTTATTTTATTTCGAACTCTGTAGGCTCTCTGTACCATTTACTAGACGCCTCATATATCCCAGCCAACTAGGGATCAAGGAGCATCGAAATAGCATCGCCCACGGACAACGTTCTACTTCGCGATAGCGTCAGTTCACCGGCAAAGCCTTATTTTCAAGGGAAAAAAAAGGTATGCTCTCTAATTGCCCCAAAGCTACACAAAAGTGAAAGCGTAATTAAAGTTTACCCGGCGTATGCCTATGGAAACCTGGGAAGATGTTACTGACATGCTGTGACTAGATACTTAAAACACCTTGTTTCTCCTGAGATCCTCTTTCCTTATCTGATTTATCGCCTCCTGCCTTGTCGGTCGAATATCTAAACATGGCATCTGAAGAGTCTGCCGCCCAGAAGCTTCTTCAAAAGCATGCCGAGGAACCTCACACTGTCACGGTCGAGGATGTCCCGGATGAAGAGCTTCCCGTGAAGCCCACCAGCGATGCCTCTGGCTCTTGGGCGGCTCCAATCACCTCCAAGGCTGCCGGAAAGCAGAAGGAATCCTCGAACCCCAAGGCGCCTCTCGATACACAGTCTCATGAACTCTTCCCGGAACTTGGAGCCCCCAAGGTCAAAACTGCCAACGTGGCCCCCATTTGGGGTGCCAAGAGCAACGCCAATGGCAAGACCAATGGTGCTGCTTCCAATGGTGCTTCACGATCATCAACTCCTACTTCCGGAACCGCGACTCCTTCCAAGGCTGCCGCACCCTCTATGTTTATTCCAGGCCGCAATGTCGAGACGGTTACCCTGGAGCCTCAGTTTGTCCTGCCCCGTGGCCAATTGAAGCGTCCCATCCCAGATATTATCAAGGATATCAATCGCAAGTCGCGCGCAAACATCACAATGGCTAATGGAGCCAATGGCCGATACAAATTCGAAGCTACCGGTCCTCAGGAGATTGCTCAACAGGCGCTCAAGGACTTGGTCCAGCAAATTGGAACTCGAGTATGTCAAAAATTCGCCAATGCCTCCTATAATCGAGTATCTACGTATCTAACATGTCTTAGACGTCCATCAAGGTCTCCATCCCTTACTCCGCTCGAGCTCATGTCATTGGAAAGGGTGGTTCGATGATTAGGGCCTTGCAGGAGAAGACAGGAGCCAAGATTCAGCTTCCCAAGGTCGAGGACAATGCTCTTCTTGCTGATGATGATGAGGCCACCATCGACGTTTCTGTTGAGGGCAACGCTCTCTCAGCCGCCTCCGCCCGAAATGAGCTGCTCAAAATTGCCGGCGAGCGATCCGCCAACGTCCAGACCAAGGTTCGCGGTGTTCCCACGGCGTTCTACCCTTTCATAGCCGGTCCCGGAAACTCCCTGGCCCAAGCTTTGGAGGAGAATCACGGTATTCAAATGCGTGTTCCCCCTCACCAGGCTGTTTGCCGTGCCCAGGCCCCTGTGGCCTCCGAGCCTGGACAGCCACCTGTCTTTCACCCTGCCGGGGCGGAGGATGACCACATTCAGCTGGCTGGTGATAGGGCTGCTATTCAGCAGGTTCGCACCGAGATCGAGCGACAAGTCGCCGAGCTGCATAAACAGCTACAATTGGAGCAGCTCGCTATCCAGCGGGGTCGCCACCAATTCATTATTGGAGATCGAGGCTTGCCCGCTGATGATTTTTTTGCCGAGACCGGGTGTGCTATTCTCCTTCCTTCGGAAGAAGAAGACGACATGGTTACTGTCATTGGTCCTGCTGATCGCGTTCAAGCTGGTCTCGAGAAGGCCATGGATCTGGCGATGGGCATGCAAATGTCAAATATTGATATTGGTAGATTCCATCGTAACGCCCCTGGTGGTGCCGCCGCACACGCTGGGAATGTGACTCGTTATCTTCGTCAGCGTAAGGAGATTGATCGTCTCGAGAAGCTGTACAACACTCACATCAACACACCCTTCTCGCAGGATGGTGCTTTACCCTGGGAGCTGTACTCGCGCGAGGGCAAGAATGCTATCCGTGCCCAGTCGGAGATCACTGGTATCATCAACGGTCAGCCTCCCGCTCGTATGCACTCTGTCAGCATTGACCCCTTTTTCCATCAGCACCTGCGTACCGACATTACCCCTAAGGTGAAGGCCGATTACGGTGTTCACGTTGTGATTCCTGAAGCATCCGAGGCTGCTGCTCCAGTTCTGCTTGTGTTCGAGGGCCCTGACCCGGCTGATGGCCCTTATCAGCTTCCTAGAACCAAGCCTTCAGACGCAGAGATTCGCGAGTTCAAGAAGGCTCTTGATGATGCCGAAAAACACATTCTGGGTCTTATCGGCAAGCAAGAGCAGCTGTCCAGCACCACTCTAGACGTTCCCGCCAAGTTCCATGAGAGACTTCGGCGCTTTATCAAGAAGGAGCAGGAGAGCCGCGCTTCTGATCAGATCCCTGTGCGCGTTACTAAGGTTGGCACCACAATCACACTCCGTGGACCCAAGTCTGCTGTGGATGCTCTGGCGGCCAAGGCCAATGCCTTTGTTGAGCAAGAGAAGGAGGACGAGAAGGAACGTGGCTTCACATTAAGTTTCGACTTTCCTCAGAAATTTGCCAACCACCTTATTGGTAAGGGCGGTAGCAACATCAAGGAGCTTCGCGATCGATTTGACGTCGAAATCCAGGTGCAAGATGGGCAAGTTGAGCTCAAGGGTCCCAAGGCCAAGGCCGAGGCTGCTCGCCACCACATCCAGAACCTTAGCCGTGCCTTGGCCGATGAGACAACGCATATTCTGAAGATTGACCCCAAGTACCACCGAGAGCTCATTGGTGCTCAGGGCGGCCAGATTAACCGTCTTCAGACTCGATATAAAGTTCTCATCTTCTTCCCTCGCTCCGCAAAGACCGGTCCCGAGGACCAGCCAAATGCTGATGCCGCCAGCGACACTGGCAAGCCCCGCCGTCAGCAGGCCCCCGACGAGGTCATCATTCGTGGTCCAAAGAAGGGCGCAGACGAAGCTAGGGATGAGATCTTTTCTCTCCACAAGTATTTGGAGGAGCACTCAGTTACTGCAACGGTCCCTGTTCAGCAGAAGCAGGTTGGGTCCCTTATCGGACAGGGAGGCGCTGCTCTTGATGAGCTTCGCCAGTTGACTGGTGCACGCATTGACGTTCCTGCGGACCGTGATGCGGATATGGTTGAAATTTCCATCAAGGGAACTGCTTCGCAAGTCGCCAAGGCCCGCAAAGTCTTGGAAGAAAAGCGAACTATTTTCGATGACACCATTGTTCAGACTATTGACGTTGATAAGAAGCACCACAAGGCCTTGATTGGCAGCGGGGGTAAGTGTCTATTTTTCTTGCCACTTTATGCTCTGTCTATATCACTCGGTTTAGTGCTAATTACATCTACCTAGGATCCAACCTGAAGGATATTGTCGTCGGAGCTGGAGGGTCGGATGACCGACGTGAGCTTGCTCGTACTATCCAGTTCCCGAAACAGGAGGCAGATGGCAACACCATCAAGGTCGAGGGACGCACCGACGTGGTGCAAAAAATCATCAAGCGCATCCAAGACATCGTTGCTGAGCGCGAGAGCCAGATCTCGGATGTAATCGAAGTGCCCATCGAGCATCATCGATCTCTTATTGGCCGTGGCGGTGATACTAAGCGCCAGATGGAGAGCAAGTTCACTGTTTCGATTGACGTGCCCAGACAGGGTGACGGCAAAACTGGTGTCAAGGTAACTGGCCGACCTGAGAACGTGGTCCAGGCCAAGGAACACATTGCTGGCATTATCAAACAGCAGCAGGGAGAGACTATTCAGATCCCCCGCAATGTCCATCACGCTGTTTCCAACAATGGACAGATTTTCCGACAGCTTCGCAACAATCACCAAGTCACAGTCGACCACTCTGGTCATGGCATTCCCAGCAAGCCTGATAACTCGGCCAGAGCGAACACTGGCTCCTTGCCGCTCATCACAGATGACGCAGACGCCGCGGCAGACGCCCACTCCTGGAAAGTGGTCAAGACCATTTCCACCGAAGAGGGAGACATTCCTTGGGTCTTGAGAGGCACCCCGGAGAATGTTCAGAAGGCCAAGGACGTGATCCAAAAGGCCCTAGAGCAGGCTAAGAAGACTGATGCCACGGGTTACCTCATCTTGCCTGACCCAAAAACTTATCGCCACGTCATTGGACCAAATGGCTCCAAGGTCAACGCGATTCGACAGCAGAGCAACTGCAGAATCCAGGTGCCCCGAGATCAGGCGCGCGACGAGGCCATTGAGATTGTCGGCTCTCAGGCAGGTGTAGAGAAGGCTAAAGAGCTGATTTTGGTTGCTGTCCGTGAGGGGCAAAAGCCTAGGGAGTAGATTTACACCTTGCTGTAAGTTTGCTATGTCACTTGCAAGATAAAATGGAAGAGGAGAGATGTAAGAAAAGTTAGTCGCAGGTGCATCAAGTAAAACACTTGCACTTCAATATCGGCACAGGTTCTATGTATCACCGAGTATGTACGCCCTTGGGTTTGTACGATTGATGTGAACAAGTACAGCGTGGGGGTGAGAGAATATCATTTTACGGGCTCAGGGCATATATAAGATATTCCGGGATCGTGGAGATGTAAGCTGAACCTAAAAATAGCACAATTAATGGACAAAATACTATAGCTGTAGTCGGTTGGCCTGCATCGTATTATGTATTGTGATGGTCCAGCTGCCCTTGGAGTTCGGCAAGTGGCTCATCCGGGTTACGCCCGCCCGCCGGCCGCCTCACGGACCATCCAGCTGTCAGGTGGAGATTGTAAGCACCCCTGAATCAATAGGCAACCATGAATGGATGGACCCCTTGAGCCAGAATCTTGCGACACGGCGCACCGCCCCCAGGGCTGACATTTATTACAAGGCATCAATTCATGTCTTGACACCTTCTCTCGCTCCTTTTCCTTCGCGCCTGATCAAACTCCAAGGGAATTTCTGGTTTAATCTTCTGGTTAGCCACCTGTTAGGGCTCCTTAAATTGATTTCGGACGATCCCTCTTGGCCCAGAAAGAGTTGCAATGGTGGCTACGAAGACTGCATCTGCCGAACCAGCTCCATGGGAATCTGTGCCTGCCCATGAGCAGCTTTTTGTCCTCATCACCGGTGCGAATAGGTCTGCTCCCCATCTACACAATTGAACAAGTACCATTTCGGAGTCTGCGGACTAATATAATTGTTTTTTTCTACAGTGGAATCGGTCTCGGTACAGCCCAAGCTCTCATTGACGATTTCCTGGCCACGCGGTCCCTCAGTTCGCACCTCATTGTGATCCCCACGACACGGTCTGGCTCCAAATCCCTCGAGACGATCCGGCAACTGCGAGAATATGCTACCAAGGCGGCCAAGACATCAAAAGTCTTGTCGCGCGGCGGCGCCGACTATAAATGGGAAGATGCCGCCTCGAGAATCCACATCTTAAGCCTGACGCTGGATTTGTGTGACCTCCGTGGCATTTGGGATTTCGCGCATAAACTGCGGTACGGGACTGTGAGAAACCCTGAGGGTTTGGAGGGGGAATATTTGCGGAATGTGAGAATCCCTCGGCTGGACAGCATTATCTGCAATGCAGCTTTTGGTGGGTGGGCGGGAATGAACTACTTCGCCGCCATTCGGTCGTTTTTTACAAAGGGCATTATACAGACGGCAACCTGGCCTGACTTTAAGCTGTCATTGCCGACTTGCCTCTTGAACGAGCGGCCAGTACTCAACTACGTGAGTATTTTTTTTGCGCCCCTGCGTTGTTGAGCTGCGGGGTGCGATCCGTGTGTATGTACTAACGGTGCTTTCTTGTAGCCCGTCAAACCTTTGCTGGGCGAAGTCTTTTGCGCGTGTGTCTTTGGCCACTACATCCTCGCCCATAAGCTCCTTCCCCTGCTGAGCAGATCCTCCGAGAACGAGGCGCCCGGCCGTATCATCTGGTCAAGCAGCCTCGAGGCGGTCCGAAAAGTCTTTGACGTCAACGACGTACAGTGTTTCACGCGTCCCGAGGCATATGAATCTTGCAAAAGACTCACTGACCTCCTCTGCCTGAGCTCCTCTCTCCCTGCCGCTCGGCCATTCTCCTCTCGCTTCCTCACCATTGATGACGACGCCGAAGCTGCCAAGAAGCAGCTTGTCCGGCCGAAAATCTACCTCACCCACCCAGGCGTGGTGGCCAGCACGCTGTTCCCACTTCCCTGGTTTCTCTTCTGGTTGTACGAGATTTCGCTCGTCGTCTGCCGCTGGGTCGGCTCCCCCTGGCACAATGTCACCGGCTACAATGGCGCCAAGGCAGCCTCTTGGGTCGTCCTCCAAACCCAAGAAGCCCTCGATGATTCTGACGCAGAACGCGTCAAATGGGGCAGCAGCACGGATGTCAGGCTCAACGTTGACGTGAAGAAGACAGAAGTGGAAGGGTGGGGGTGGGAAGGCAAGCCCGAGACGCCTGATACTATTGCCGCCGACTCTGCTGTTGGTGTTTTGCACAAGTCCGTTGGGAGAAAGACTGGTACTAGGGATGCGACTGCGGAGGATATTGCCGAGTTTGAGGAGGTTGGTGCCCGGTGTTGGCAGCAGCTGGAGGAGTTGAGGGCCCAGTGGGAGGACATCCTTGAGCGTGACGGCAAATAGATGGCATGGAGCGATTTGATTCGGGACTCTTAATACTATTCAACTAATACACATCACTCACTGGTGCTTGTTTACCCATTCCGTCAACGTGCCATTGCGGGAATCCACGAATCGGGAGTGATAACGACCAAAGCTTGTAATACCAATCTGAAGGCAAGCACCGAGGCACACGATAAAATTATTAATCATTTCATCAAAAAGGGAGGAACAAAGACTCTAGTTTCACTCGCCGTGGTATATATATGACACATGTAGTATTTACACACCCATGGTTTTAAAAAAAAAAAGCAGCTCAAAAGAAATCAACCCCCGCAGCACTTCAATTTATACAACAGTCTGTACATTTGTACGTGCGCCCTGCTCATCGGAGCGAACACGCCTCAAAACAACCTTATCTGCACGGCCAAATAGGCCCAAGAACAGGGGCAACGGGCAAACAACTAGGGCGACGACAGCCTGGAAAATGAGAGCATTCTTCATGTTTTTGGGCGGGTTGGCATCATCACCGGCAACCAGAGCATCGCTGATGATAACAAAGATGGCGCCGAGGAGCTGACCACCGGCCCATGCGGTAGTGGATGTGACCTCGGGACTAAGCGGGTGGCTGAGCTCAGTGAGAAACTCCAGAGCCACGGGGACCAGGGCAAAGGAAGCGGCCCCCAGAATGGCGAGCACTACATACGGGCCGGTGACTTCGCGGGTCTCGGGCATCCACACGAAGACGAGGTAGCAGATACCGATGATGGGCATGAAGAACTTGAGAGCGAAGAGGAACTTCTTGGTTCTATCCAAAATCGGCGAGGTAATGGCTGCGAAGACGAGGCCGACGAAGATGAGAATGGCACCTCCGATACCTGCCTCGTCGTCGCTGAACCCGTAGGGAGTCATCATCTGGTTGAGAAGAGACGAGATCGAGTTGAAGAAGCCGACGTAGACAGCGAATGGAATAAGTACAAGCCACAATTCAAGGGAGTGAGTGAGGACTTTGACGGATGCCCTGAGGCTTAGTTTTGGGGTCTCGGCAGAAGGTCCAACAGGGGTTGGGGGCGCGGCTGGTACGATGAAGGCTGGTAGACAGCAAACAGTAGACTAAAGAAGACCAAGCATGATTAGCTGCGGGAGTACAACTGGGGATAGAAGGATTGGAGTTTCGCTTACAATGATGGAGACATAGAGCACCATCTGGGAAACGTCGCTCGCCTGCTTAACCCACAGAGGGTTGATCAATTGGCCCAGAGCACCGCCCAGGGGATTCGCCAAACTTGTCACTGCCGTCGCAGCAACTCGACCGCGGTTGGTGAACCACAAATCCGAGTATCGAGTAGGGGCCGCCAAGATAAAGGGTTGGGCGAAACCGATCAGAATTTCACCGGCCATAATGGCACCAAAGTGACCGCCGGAAGAGCTGGTTGAACCCCCATAACGAATCCAGTTTCCGATGATGACGAGTACCGCAGCAATCATAAAGGCCAGCTTCGGGCCGCGGTGCAAGATGGCAATGGTGATGGGGAAAATGGCAACAAAGGCGAGGAAGAAGGCGGTGCTGACCCAGTTGATGGCCGATTTTGAGACGCCATAGTATTGCGATGAGAAGTCGGCAACAGGTGCAAAAGTAAGCCACTGTGAAAATAGAAACAGAGAGTTAGCATCACACACAACATTATTGTCATATCTCACGCCTCGGGGCCAGCGGAAACAAAAGTCTCCTAATGGGTGAGCAGCCAAGGCCGTAGGAAATCAGGTTCTCTCTTACATCCCAGGAAACGACAATGTTCATGAGCGTGAGTGTTGCGAGGCCGATCCATCGTCGTTTGTACGTTCGATACTCAGTTGATGTTCCATTAGCAACGCTCCCTTCGCCTTCGCCTCCGACGTCGATGGTTCCATTTTCGCCAATGTTTCGCTCTCCAAGGCTGTAATCCTGCGACCCCAGCTTCGTCCCCCTCCAGAAGCGCCCGCCAATCTTGTCGCCGCTTCCTTCGCTACCGCTGTTAATCCCTTTCATTTTGCGGGGAAGTGCGGCAGGTAGTGAACCACTGGTTGTGCTTAGACTATATGAGAAGGACTGATGAAAGGACAACAGGGGGAGCAAAGGAAGAAAGGGACCAGCGTGCGGCCGCCGTACCAATCTTTACCGGCTAATCAGGAAAATAAAAAGACGAACGAGGCTCCTCACGGCCCTTTGCATTCGAAAATCGCAAATTCCTGAAGTCTCACCTCACGGGAGGCGCCGGAGTAAACGGGACTAAATCGTGGTCGGCCGACAAGGATGTAAGTTCCACAATGTGTAGGCCAGCTCCCGCAGCGTGATACTTCTTCTGACCCGAACTCCGTGTTGGATGGCTCGTCCCTGAAACTGTTGCAATTCGACAAGCAAGGTTCGTTTAAAGGAAATTAATCGTGAGCTGCATGCACGCCCGGTTCGCAGGCGAGGATTTTCTTTGGGAGAACCAAACACTGCAGCGTGGTGGAGTAGGCCGGCAGGAGGTGCAGAAATATGTAGTTCTGGATTTCGGTGGACCAAGAGAATAGTAGGTCGTGGAACCATAGAACCAATTGTTGTTTATACAAGACAGTATCGAAGGACAGAGACAGACCTCAACTGACGGATGTTGAAAGAAGAGAAGATGAGCTCCCGATTGCCAATGGGAAGGGTGGCGCTGAAGGTGGAAAAGGAATGCAACGCTGCCATCAGGCCTGAACCACGTCGCTTTCCAAGACAGAGAGAGAGAGACGCATGAAGGAAGGCCCGCAAGAACTCAGTACTAGTACTGTACGCTTGACGGCCACCAACTCCTTAGCACCTTCACCTGCAGTTGGTGTAGAATACAGACAGGGTCGCGTGGGGCCCTCAAACTTTCCCACCCTTCGGTGCCGCCTCCGTCTGGATACTGGTCAAGAGCGTCCCTTTTGAGGCGAGCTGGTTTTGGAGTTGGACTCTGGGCCCCGTCGAACAACACGGGGAGACTATCTGAGTGGCCAGGTGCGCTCATGGATCTGGGGTCTGGGCTTGAGCCTGTTGTGAACCCTTGACTCCGTGCTCCGTACCCAATTCCATTTTCGGCAGGTCAGGGAATACCGCCATCTCTGGCATCAAGATTCATTTTCCCAGCAAAGGTCCAGGCCTGTACATATTAGCCAGGGGCTGGTAACGGCGGGCCAGACAACCAGCCAAGTGTGGGCAACGACTCACACACATCCTGACTGTAGGTGGCGCTGGGGATTTCAGATTGGTGGCGGGTCTTCGGCTGCAACATGCATTAGCTATTAGCTGGCTGCTTGACCATCATGGTACATACAATGTACAGTGGGAGGGGAAGCAAGTATGAGAAGATCCGCTACCTGGCTACTGCGTATACGGAGTTCTGCGGTAATATAAAAGTATGCTTCTTGCTAGCCAAATATATTTCACCACAGACTGTATGAAGTATGTGGCTTCTTTGGTGGCTCTTGTGTGGTATGCTGGTCACAGTGACATCTTCCATCGTTTGCGCGAGACATACGGAGTACGTATTGATAAATAGGCCTGTGCCTTGTTTGATTACTGAGAATGTGATATTCGATGCCACTACCTGACCAATACGTACCAGGTTTGGGATCACTGCGTACCAAATGGTCGTAGTTCCAAGTTAGCTGGCACCCAGGCAACTAACTAACGAGAGCAAGTGTGCATCGTACGTACAGCCTCGTTTTGGATAGTATACTCCGTACGGAGTTGACTAACACCAGCTACCAACTTCTATGACCTGTCAGAGCCAACTGCACGGCGGAATACTCCGTCGCCACCATGGCTCCCATCATAGCGTGTAGGGCCAAAAGACTCGGGGTAGTTGTTCATTCTTGCCAACCAAGAGAGACATGGCTTGGCGGCGCACCCGCCTTGCCGCAGAACTGGACTTTGGCCGAAACGGTGGAGAGAAAACTGAGCGACTGGAACCGGGGCAAGACGATGTTGCAGGACGACGCAAACCATGCAACTTGTGCTTGTCTGTTGGCTCACCACTTCCCTCATTTCCTTTACTGGAGAATTTTAGCTCAAAGAAGACGAGCACAGTCTGCGTGGATCTCGTGCGTCCAGCCGCCAGTCGCGATCGAGAGATAGCCTTGATATCCTGGTCTAGTGCAAGGATGACAGGTCTCCGGGTTGAGCAACTCGTAGCGTAACCAGTGTGGGGGTGCGAATGAGGTTGTCGGTAGGCGGTGGGATTCTGAGCCGACACATGTCAACAAGTTAACCTCCCCAAGGCTTTGCGATCTGGTATACAAAGGAATTGTAGTCTCGAACTCGTCCTTGTCCTTTGATGGACCGTTTCTGGCGGGTGTTCCGTTCACGTGCCAAGGTGAGATAGAAGCGCCGATAAACGCGCAGGCAACATGCAGACAAGCAAGCTCGAGTCAGGTCGCTCTTGCCGCTCGCGCTCATGTCTGGTACTCCCTACACAGGTCCAACTTGCTCCTTTGCCCTCTCGTCTCTTAATCTAAAACACACCCTTGAGCATAACTAACTTCGACGGATAATTCTGCTTCATCTTCTGCCACAGTATCTGGAGCTTTCCTTTCTCCACCAAAGTCGGTTAAAATGTTCTCAATTGTTCAATGTAACATGCACACTTTGCCTACTCTATTGACCCCAGGGCCCCTGCATGTGGAAGGTGTGCTCAAACAGATGAGACAACCCGCCTGCGTCCGAGATGCTGTCAAGCTTTTTCATCTTTAGACTTATTCAGCCCCTGTCCATGATGGAAGCAGAGAAGTCAGATCTGCGCCTAGCGTGAACGTCTTTTGGCGTCGTACGGAGTCCTCCGTACATGGGACATGATTTCGATTGAGCAAAGCAGGAACAGGAGTTGTGTAACTGTGTCTCGCATAACACCCACCATCTCCACCGTATCGAGGCCCTTGTCTTCTTCCTCTTTCGTCAAGCTCGAGTCCCGACTCCCAGCCGTGGAACACAGTGGAAAGGGTCTGTTGAACGCCGCCCAAGATGAAACAGATCCACACAACTCCCGCTGCCGACGCCCATCTGGCGACGGGGACGGATATAGCCACATGGTAGTTTGCCAGTGCCTTCAAATGACCTATCTCCAAGGAGAGCTGGCTGGACACAGCTGAGCACTTCAACTGTATCAGATGAGGCACTATTTTGTTCTGCCAATTCCGACACAAGGGTGGCTAGTCGGCGCATTGATAAAAAAAATAGTAGAGCACCCTTTCCTATTGGCTGCCTAGTCTGTTCTTGTTCCAAGTTGTAATAGATTCAGCTAACGCGATTAGCATCAACTGTCACAACCGCTGCAACGTTTGCGGGATTAGCCGTTTCCTTGGACCTAGCCGCGAGTCCATCTTGGCAGACTGAGAATCGACAATCGAGCCGTCGTTTTTGGTACTGCAGAGACTTTGCAAGTGTCAATACCGTGTCCCGGGATGCCCAGCGCGAGAACTGGACAAGACATTGAAGAGTTCATCCATCAGCCGTATAGTTGCCATTTTGCCTATGCGTTCGACATGACGTTGCATATTGTGGAAGCGACTAGAAACACTACATTCACTTCTGGCATCCATCATAAGAAAGAAAATCGTTCATAATGGTCACCATCCGCGGTAAGTGTTGATGAGAAAAGTCTGCGGACATAGGAGCACTTCTCCAAGGCCGAGTATATCCTGGGATGCTGGGACCTATTAATGTTCAGTTGTTTCGCTCTGTAGTCAAATGAAATCACACGCATGATACAAGTATCGTGCAAGCGTAAAATCTAAAACAGTATTAGGCTGTACCAGGCCAAGGACAGTAGGAGACTAGAAAAGTAGACCGTCTCAGCGCAATTGGTGCCACGCCGCGACCGCTAGCCAAGGCCATCTCGCGATAGCCTCATGCTGGGACCTATAAACCAAAATTAGATGTAACCTAAAAGAACAGCAATAGCTGCCATTTACCCCGTCCGCCGGCTCTAAGAATACTCGAGCCCATACGACTTATAAGTCAATTAGCAACTCCTTTGAATGAAGGTTAATTTACCCTGCCGCAAGAGTTGGTCTCCCGCGTCACACCCTGTCAAGTCAACATCCCGAACGTGACGAGTCATACGTGAACCTTGCAACAACCTCAGCACGGAATGGCCTCATATCGAAGCTCATGAAATCGGAACTCGGTCTGCGAGAATTTTCACTTTTTTCAGCGTCGGCCTAACTCCATCCTCCCACGACATCAAAACCAGCACCGTTGGATCTAGGCGACGAGTCTTGACGCTGATTTGACAATTTGTTTTCTCCGATTTATGATGTCGTCAGGGCACGTGGATAGATACCCTCTCTATCTCTTTCCCAAAAGGGGAAAGATAGTGTTCCTGACCCTATTTGATCGTCTTTAGACATGGTTGCTAGTCTCCGAGCTTTTGAAATAGCCACTGTGTAGCAGCCTGTCTTCGAGTTTAATTGTCAATTCGATTATTTAGACTTTCCCACGGGACATGAAATTCATTCGCACGGTTGAACGGTCATTAGCAAAAAGTTGGGCTTGAGTTTTCCATGATGCTCTTTGCAAAGCCTTCATGCTTTGGGATAGTAGATTAACCACAGATTTCGCTGGGTAGTGGCAGCGAAATACGTCCATCGCCAGGCTCAGTTTTGTCTCCGTCTCAAGGCCGAGTCTGCATCGCCGAGCAAGTATCAGTACCAATTGGAGAGACCCTGTACGGGCTGGTCTGAAACTAGCTATGCCGTCGGGACCTGGCATAGTTTGCGTCGTGGACTCATACAGTGGTGCACATCTTGCCAAGCAACCCTTGTGTGTGACGCAACTACACTTGAAACTACCTTCAACTGGGACAAAGTAGACTAAAGAAGAGATAAAATCTATTGTTGGCGCTGCAGCATTTATGATACAGACAGAAATCACCGTCCCGCAACAGCAAGGGCGCCCCAATACAAGAATCATCTCGAGGCCGCCCGCCATTCCAGTCGTGGCAGATTATACATGGACACGTTTCCCCGGCGCTCACTGCTCAACCCCATAATTTTGTACTTTTGCGCCTTTTGCACCATTCCTCGGTCAGCGCGAATTCGTGGCGTCGAATATATTTCCCTTCCAAAAAGGTGCAAGCCCGCCGCTCCCACCAGCTGTTTAGTCCGACAGGCTAGAACACTTCAGAACACGGAAAATATAGCTTTTGACGTTGGACGGGGAGAATTTATCGGAGCTTAGACCATAGCTTGGGAGCGGCGCAGGCGGTGGCGCAGTGGGCAAGGTGGAAGACTAGATGTTCAGTTAGCTGGACTGAATTCGCAACGAGGATGGCTCGGTTTGGGCCAATTGAATCGATCCCATGCTGTTGGATTCGTCTCATCGACGGCAGGGCTTGGACTTATTATCGTGGGCTAAGACGTACACTCCTCGACGCAATCCTCCTTGGCTTCGCCCTCGCTCTCCTGTTGCTGAACACGCTCGACACACTCGTCGAAGTGGTGCTTGGCAGGGGCACACTGAGCAGAATTTTTGCATTCTACCGTAGAAAAAAATGTCAGCACAAGCCGCGTTGAGGCAAAGGAAGTATTTGTGCCATTGGGAATGTTGCCCCGTTATTCGAGGGAAATGCCTCGCCGGACAGCCGAGGACAGGCGAGCCGACCGTGTGGACGGATTGGGGGAATGAAAATGTTTAGACGGACCTTCCTCAAGAGTCTCCTTGGGGTCGACAATCTCTTCCTCATCCTCTTCTTCTTCTTCTTCCTCCTCCTCCTCCTCCTCCTCGCCCTCCTCGGCGTCCTCGGCGGCCTCGGTAGCTTCCTCAGTAGCCTCTTCCGAGGTCTCTTCGTCCTTTGACTCGTCCTCGGCGGCCTGCTCCTCCTGCAACAGTTGTGTCAGTAATTTATTTCACGAGTGAGAGCTTTTTGGTTGAATTCCGCGTCGGACTGATGGCGTTGCACCAATGGCCGTGGTGGACGCCGCAAAAAGGTTCGTCACGGTCGGCAAAGGGGAACAAGCCGAAATCGTACCTTGGGCTCCTCGGCAGGGGCCTCGGCCTCAACAACGCTCCATGGCGTAACGGCCTCGACAATCTCGGAAAGGGCGTCCCAGATACCCATCGCGACAGGTGGATAGATCACAATGGAAGGTTATGGTTGTGTGTTTGAGGTATCTCACTAAGATCGTATGAGGTCGGAAGCTCTCGGTCAAAGTCGCGAGAGCGAAATCTGATCCGGAATTGGCATAATTTGATTGGTTGATTGGCATCCACAGGACAATTGCAGGTCACGCATTGAATCACGTGACCTCTTCCTAATTGGTTTGGAACTGCCAATTGAACCGTCAGTTTGTGGCCCTGCTCCGTACACCATACTGCAGCCGTAATTGATGAAGTGCCAACTACAAGGCACGGGCGGCTTACTAACACCATCCCAATGTCAAGACTCAAGAGTGATTCACTCTTGGGATATCATTTGGGTTCTGTCGACATAATTTTAAAGTAAAATGCAAGAGCAGTATTGAGGTAGCTTTCTCAAGGTAAGGATTGTTCCTATGGATCTTCCCGGCTGTCTGAACGTCGCCAACCCATGCCTGCGTTAATGTTCTAAATTGACAAGTCGTGAAAACGAATCAAATTGCCAACCCTAAACCCACTAGAATATATCATTTTTGCCCCCAGCGCCGTAAAAGCCAAGTAATGGCTCAAGTAGGGCCTCGCGAATATCACGGTATTCATAACCCGTTTCTAGAGTATGAGCTATGCAAGTCAAAATGCGGTTTTGGTGTGGTGGGCACTGGAAACCGAGGCGATGCAAAAACGCTGCTGCTAAAACAAAGAAACCAAGTCGAGATCACTCGTCCGTGGCGCCTCGATCCACTTCTCCCCGAATATGGTCTTCTAGGCGCATACTGATCTGCTGTGCTTGCGCTTCGTCATAGCCAGGTGGAGGTTCATCGGGTGCCCGGCGACTGGAGGAGCTGTCTGACCGATTGGTCCGTGGAACGGTCAGTGTTGTCGTCGATTCCGGTGGATTTGTACCAGGGCCCTCATATGCGGGTAAAGGCTCATCTGGTATATCGGCACCGGGGCCCATCTCCCTTCTCATTTCCTGGTACTGGAACAAGCGTTCTCTGAGCCGTATATATGTTTCATTGAACTCCATCATGCCGCCATCGGAGAAGGTGAATTTCACTTCTATTCTTGGCAGGTCAGGCGGAATGTTTCCTCCAGAGACGGGAATACAATCCGACTTCCACACCCAACCCCACCACATGGACGATGATGTACTAGAGTCCTGGAACTTGAGAATCGGGGCGCTGAAGGATTCAAATTTTGGCTCCTGTGTGGGCTTGGAGGGGAGATATACAATCTGATTATCCGCGTTAGCATATGGGAGAGGAGATTGTGATACAAGGATTGGCAGGCATGATTTGGAAGACTCACTCTCTTATTAGTGAGGAACAATGTGCCCTTGTCGCTCTTACACTGAAACGGGGTACATCGGGCCTTGAGTTCCTGGGGCACAGATAGGTCGCATGATATTCTTGAATCAAGTTTGAGGAGTATTCGTTCGTTTCCAAGCTTGACAAAGCCTCCTTGGTTCAGCATAACCCAACTAGCAGAAGAGTCAGGATCAGTAGGACGTCTTGGACGAGAGGGACTGGTGATCAGATAATCATGAGGGTTGTCCATGACGAAAAACAGGGCACTTGACACCCATGGAGAAGATGCCCATGGGAAAAAGTAAACCAAACGATATGAAACAGAACGAAGTTTATAAAAAAAAAGAAGGCTAGAGAAAAGGAGCCGGAGGTGGCGAGAAGAGTCTAGAGTTGAGAGGTGAGATTGGTCAAAGCATGACCATCAATGCCAAGGGTCCGGGAGAAAGTCCGGAGGTATGAGGCATGGGAGAGATGAATAACAACAAGACAAAGACCAGAAACGGGTGAATTGTGAATTGAGAAGCACAACAAGGACAAAAAAAAAAGACGGGCCTAGGACAAATAGGTACAAGAGAGAGACGAAAAGGATAAGATAGGGCAGGAAAGGATGGAAGGGGTGAGGGTGAGTGTGAGGTGAGGAAGTCTTCAGTCTGAAGCTAAGGGGAGGGGTGTGTAGCAAGGAGTGAATTGAGAGAAGAGAGACCAGTCGTCCCATGCTGAAGAGGCTTACTTTATCGACATTGTCACGGACAGGGTTTGGCAAACCCTAGCAGCAGTAGAAGCAGTGGGCGAAGCCGCGGCAGTAGTCGCACCCGCAACTCGTCTCCAGATTCCCGGGCTGCACCTTGAGTAGTACCCAGACGGGCATCGCCTCGCAGGCAAGCGTTTGCGCAAGTGGTGAGAGATGTCGCGAGTAATACTCGGTGCTAACAGGAGCAGTCAACGGGTTCAAGACTCTGGCGAGGTGGGAGTGGGGCACATTCGCACATTCGCGGTCTGGCGGCGTGGGAATGGGCGCGGGAACGGGCGAGGGCGTGTCGGCGTCAAGCCGGGAGGATGAGGCAAATGATGGAATGATGCCGAGGATTGAGTACGGAGCGCCGAGGAGGTGGCTGGGAGAGGAGGATGGGAGAGGAATAAAGGGGACATGGGCGAGAAAATATGACGGTTGGAAGAGCGTGAAGTGAAGCACGGCGGAAGAGGGACTGAGGGACAAAGCAGGCCAGGCTGCACATGCACACGCTGGAGGGCTTGGGCACGCACTGTCGGGGACGTTCAAGGCCAAGGATACATGCATGCAGGGCAAAGGCAGCCTGAGGCTCAGCGCTCGGGGCTCGGGGCTGGAGGCTTGGGGCTCACATGCAAGTGCCCTGCCATCCAGATGTCAGCCTGGTCGAGTTGATGTCAAGATGTCGAGATTGGGGTGAGCAGGCCGCGCGGGCGATGGGGACCTAGGGGACATCGAGCACCAGACAGGAGGAGACTGCATGTGGAGGGGCAAAACGCGAGGCGGGGGGGCAGGCCTCCAGCGCACGCGCAATGGGGCCAGTGAATGGCGGGGAGGGGCGCGCTGGGGGGTCGAGCAGGACATGGAGGGACCCGTGGATGTGGATGGGGATCGATTCCTGGGCCCGGGTCACTCATGGGCCATCGACTTAACACGGCCAGCAGACTGGCTGACTGGCCGGATTCGAGGCGGCTTCTGCGGCCAAAGCGCCTGCACATGAACGAGCAACAAACATCAATTGATTCAAGCACGCAGAGGGACAGGGAGAGGGAGGCGAGACAGCCCCTACCCAGTTGCCAGACACGTCGAGTCAACATTCGACATGTCCATGTCCGCTCGTTCGCGAGTATTTGTGCCACCACCACGCCGTCGCGCCTTGGTAGGTGCCCAAGCAAACCACGTTGGAGGAGCGAGTTTGCGTGCACTTGGCCCGACGGCACATACAACAGACCAGCAGAACTCCATCGACCAACTGCCAACAACATCTGGACATGCGCCGTAATCTCACGACCCAGAAAAACGAGACCAGTGAATTCAACCACTTGCAGGCGCCGCATCAAGGGCCAAACAGCCATCTAGGCACGCAGTCTGCCGTTGGGTCGAGGAGAAATTGGTATTTGTGTCTGGGATATGGTCCGTTACGAGTACCAAGTACTCCTCAGTCGCATGCGCAGCAGGCTGGCATTCGGTCAGTCAATCAGTCGGGCCATTGTCCAGACATGATCGACGCGGTGGTGCAAATGAGGCCAAGTTTTCGACAGATGCATACTTGGATGCCACTCCGTCCTCGTCTCCGTCGTCATGCCTTGAAAACCCAACCCCAGACGTGAAGCCGTCTCCACACACGAGACTTTGTTGCAAATGTGTGTGATGACCAAAAACAGCACAGTATTTACACAGGCACTCAGCCATGCACAGCGTTGACGAGCCAGATATTTCGGCCAGGGGACCCTGACGTCTTTTTGGCGTCCCTTGATGGACCCCCCGGACGCTTCTCTCCAACTAGGAAACAGGCTCTAGACTTCTTCAGCGATTGGATCCGGCAAGGCAGAAAAAGGAAGGGGATGCTACAACGGCCGAAGCCTAAAAGGGCTTGTGAAACAAGATGCCGGGTTTGTTGGGAACACAACTACTAAAACACATATATACTCCGTATACTCCGTATACTACGTACATATGTACATACATGCAGCGCTCGGTCTTGGCTGTATTTGCACACACAGCTAACGACCTACATACATCAGTAGTCTTGTGTTGCATTGCGCAGTGGCCAACACCCGTTGAATTATTCCGGGACCTGATGTACATGTTGTATGGATATGGATGGACTGACCGAGAAGTCAAGTTGGCCTTCCATCTGTCGTCCTGGTCGTGTTTAGAACTTTATTCCGGGCTTCACACGTACGTAGTACCAGACCTTGACTGACAAGACTAGATAGATATTGGACACTTGCTCCGTCTGTACTTGGTAACGCAAGATCAACGAGCAGCCTCCAATGTCGTCTAATGCTGGCGGCGACAGAACAGAGTTCAACAGTCATACCTACGACTTGCTGGGTGAGTCCCTGACTCGTCTGCGTCTCTGGCCCCTTTCTCACGACCAACCAAGGTTTTGACTACTATCTGTGTTCAAATACTCCGTCCCCTGGTAGTAGTATTTCATGTTTCCTCAATTGCTCATCGGCACTATATGTACGCCAGGGGTGAGCACGAGCTGCCGTCGTCTCGTTCTCCACGTGCCTGAGGCCAAGCCATCCCGGTCAGGCAGGCAACAAGGCAAGCGGCAAGCGGCGATGCTGCATCAAGTAGCGCAAATAGGCAGGCAGGCGGGCAGGCAGGCAGGCAGGGGCAACCAGCAAGCAAGAGCCCCATCAAAATTGGAAGGGGCTTGACTCTCACAGATGGATGCCGTCTCTCCTCCTGTCTTCTCTCGTCTTCTCTTCTCGTTGGGCGACATTCGGAGCACGCGGGTGGATCATCATACTGTCTGGTGAAGAATGCTCCAAATGCCCTTACAAGCAGGGTCCAAGACCACGCACTCGTACCGCAATGTCTCAAGTCCTCTGGCGCGACTTGATGACAGAAAAGCAGACGGGCCAGCGCAACGCCACTGTGCTGCTGGATGTGCTGCCGGATGTCCGCCACTCTGTCGCATCCCTCACTCTGTTGAATCCAGCCATAATCCTTGTTCGTGTGGGGTTCCAGCATCTCGACCCAGCGCCAGCATTCCGTGGGCCGGGCAAGGACACTCGTCCCCTTTAAAAGCCCGGATGGTTATCGCGATAGGTGTGGTATTGCCTGCTGCATTTGTGTGGTGTTCCGCTTTGGTCCGACTGCGTCTCTGCCTTTCTGCCCGTGGCCGTTCAACAATAGGAGGTGGCCACGAAGCTGGTCGATAATGACCGAGCCGTTAGGTAAACTGTATGTGCCATCTGGCTGGCAAGGTAGCAGTGCCTAGTCAGGAAGGGCTTATCGCCTAAAGGACTAGGACCAAGAGTTCATGCTGATGAACACGGTAGAAGCACTAGCCAGGCCTCGAAATGATCAGGCGACGATCCCTCTAGGGCTAATGCAAGTGAGGTGTGAACTGCAGGCTGGTTTTGGCCGACCACCTTGGACCAATTCATCCACCTAGGGAGCAGATAGGGCTAAGTTGCTATCTCGTACCTGCATGAAGTGCAACAATGACGACATCGAATGGCCGGCTGACTCGGCCTGCGTCTCGGCATCTGTATCTGGCAGGACTCCGGGAATTGCAAATGCTGTTTCGGGAGAAAGCTCAACCAAGCTGCGAAGACCGACACACGAGTGATGTTGATGATGTGCACAAGAGAGATTCAACCCACCATAAATTGAACTCAGCTGCCGGTATAATACATGTGCACCGTGCCGTTGCCGTGTCGATCTGGGCTGACGAACACCAGCTACCCCCCGGTGCCCAACCAATTCAAAATATCGGCCAGCCAAAGGACTTGAGAGACTTCAGGACCCGAGCTGAGTTTTGAACTAAAATTAGCAACAAGGTCCGGAGACATACCACGCAGTCGCACTAGCAATCGCCATGTCTCTCATATCAGATTTTGCCAATGTCTGTAATCAGCCGACTCCAAGTCGCGGCTGTTTAGTTGCTTTGATAAATTCGAAGCTTGTGCGCCGGATTCCGAAGTCTAGACCACTGCACTGCCTGCTCTGCAGCGAGTACGCCGCACACCCACCTTGGTCGCAACACGCCTTATCAACAAACATACATAAGGTTTGGCAAGCTTGGATTTCTCGTATGGCACGTTTGCAGGAAAGGGGCAGATACGATACTAGTGTCCCAAACACGGCAGATCTGCTCGATGCTTGCCTGGAATCATCCATCTGCCACTCAAGCTTTGTAGGCACGCCGTCGGCATAATCATCCCTTATACGCGGCTTTCGGCCTCCGGGATGCCTCCCGTCTCGTCCGTCGGCAAGCCATGTCGTAACGCCGGGTGAAAACAGATGGGAAATAGAGCCGGCTCCGGGAGACGCATGCACACGCTGTAAAAGAAGGAAGACACGGACAGAAAATTGCCCGGGGAAGCCCCTCCCTTCCCAGATGGCCGCACCACAAGATACGGAAAATATTTCAGCACAGGTTGCTCTTGTTACACCAAGACATCGTGGCCCATGCCGGACGAGACTCGAAGACAGATTCGTGGAATAACCGCTCTGATTCTGATTGGCCCATTCGGCAGCCGGACGGGAGCTCCCGTGTATACCCGTGCAGCGACTCCCAACCGGGAAGCCGCAAACCGCCCTGGCCCACCGGACTTGCAACGGACAGGATGGGTCAGCCGAGCCGAGGGGCAACGACATGGGAACTTCAGACGGGTGCCAATGCGCGGCCTCGACTCAACACACAAGAAACACTGGCTGTTGCAGAGCCATGTATTCACCTTGCACTCTAATTGCACCCAGAATCTCTGTACCACGGCTCAGCCTTCTCCGCACAACACCATTTACCAGCGTCGTCCCCCGTCCAGCGCCACAAGCCATGCCGCCCGCTACGCTCGCCCGCCTCGAGCAGTACACTGCATGTGATATCTCAGACGCCCTTCTCAAGCTCAAGGTTCCCGGGGCAGGATTCATCGCAGATCTCAACCCATACAGCACCAAATCGGGTAAGGATGCCGATACCCTAACCATTGCGCCCGTGTCCACCATTCTGTTCGCCGCCAAGGGCGAGGTTCTCTCCGAACCACAGCCAAACGTCCCCAAAGACACGCACTGGAGCGACGCCACAGAACCGGGTACATTTGTGGTGATGAAGCAGCCCTCTGGCCAGACGAACGCCATCTGCGGCGGCATCATGGCCCTCCGCATGAAGATGCGAGATGCAAAGGGCATCATTGTCGCCGGCCGCGTCCGAGACGTGCAGGAACTCAAGAGCACCAACCTTCCGGTACTGCTTTCCCCACTGCCCACCTTGATTCCAAGATAAACAGGGCGTGACTAAACCCATTTCTCCCATCGCCAACAGATTCTAGCCCACGGCCTCTCGACAGTCGGGTCCGGGGGCGGCAGCGTCCCGTGGGCCATGCAAGTACCCCTGGACATCAACGGCGTCACCGTGTCCCCGGGAGACATTGCCTTCCAGGACCCCGTCAATGGCGTCGTCATCATCCCCAAAGACAAGGTGGGCCAGGTCCTTGAGATGCTGCCCAAGCTCATTGCCGCGGACGACAAGGTCAAGCAGGACGTGCTAAAGGGCATGTCGGTGTACGACGCGTTCAAGCTCCACCGGGGTACATGAAGTTCCTTTCCATTTTTTTCTTTTTTTCTTAACACCTTACATTTCTGTATGTTAGACGACCGAGTTGGGTAATGACTGCAACGATTTACAAGGATGATTTTGTCTATCCATGCTCCCAGGGAACTTGTACCGTGCTTGACCCTAGCAATCATTGACACCTCGCACTTGGTACGTACTTGAGTTATGGTCGATACTTGCCCTGTCGATTGGGGTGGGGAAAAAGGGCCATCCCAAGGCTACGTAGTAGGACTCGGGACAAGAAGAGAAACAAAGTCTCCCAACGATGAAACAGCCACATCACGCATCACGCATCACTTCGGCCCAGACAAATGTTTCATAAGTCGTCAATTCATTCATGCAATCAATGCATTTGTACCATACCAACAGTCCCAAGTATAAACAGTGAAGGAAAAAAGAAATACAGAAATCCCCCGGAGAGAATCCTAAAATGTAACTGATAACCCAAATGGACTGGTAACCATAAGAAATGATGAAACGCAGATGCAAAGGAGTGAGTGGTGCCAACAGATACCATTGCTCCTTATCCAATCTTTTGTTTTTAATTAAATGCAGAGATGACACGACCCGTGGGCCCCGCCGATATTTTCATTACAGCCAAGACTCCTTAGAGGGCTGGTTGGCCCCAAAATCGAGCTTGGGCATTTCCAACTTTGGCGGTGCTTCAATAATCTTGGGCTTCTGACCGCCGCCCATCTTCTTGGGAGACCTCGACTCGGGAGGAGGACCGAACCGGACATCCTTGACGTCCCAGCCATCTTCGGCTGCAGCGGCAACCCACGTTCGCAGGGCGACGTGTACACTGCCGTAGAATTTCTCCTTGCAAATACGGAGACTGCCGCCGAGGCATCGTTCCCACCCTGAGATGCGGAACTCGGCTCGCAGGATATTTCGCTCGCGAGCGGAAGGAGTGCAAGCGATGATGGCGTTCATGAGGTCCAGATGAGAAGCGAGGTAGTTTGTCGCATCCCATTCGACACCCCCGACATATGGGGCAGCAGGGACTGGTGGACGCTCCTGAGGGAAATTGCGCAGCATATATCCGAAAGGGCCGTCACGATCCTCGTTGCTAGCAAAGTAGCCTTCTTGAGCAGTAGACCGTGCCGCCTTGTCACTGGCCAAAGCAACGACATTCAAGTTGTGCAGGAAGATCCAGAAGACTTCTTTTGTCACAGAGACCACTTCCTTGCACCAAACCCGGTATGGTCGTTCTTGTCTCATCTCCAAGACGAATGGAAGTGGACGCTGGCCTTCTTCTGGATCCTTATCTCGAAGATGACCGAGCACATTCTTGGCTCTGATAACGCGTTCCACCAGTGGAGCAGACTCTATATATGTTAGAAGAACTGACGTAATAATGTTTCGAGTAGTAAACTCGCTGGGTCCTTTCTTCTCTGGGTCGAAGAGCATATGCAACAGCTTCGGGAACAGATCCGCTTGAACAGCATTGAGATATTCCATAGCCTTGGCAGTGGTGGCGAGGCCCTTCAAACACAGCAAGTTCTCATGCAACAAAGCATCCTCGTGCTCCTCTCTGCAACGTCATGTCAGTCTCGAATAGAATTCCCCTCTTGAACTGGTTTGTGTGACACTTACCTCCACTCGACCTCCATGATACGGTTCAGCAATCCAACAATCTCGTGCATGCCGCCTTGCTGTATAAAGTCTTCAATCCACGCCACAGTTTCATTCCGCAACAAGAGACGTAGCTTGTGAAGCTTTCCAACCTCTACCAGTTCCGGCTTCTGTACCTTTCTGAGGTACGCGACGTAGTCAGACGGGCCTTGCTGAACCTTGATCTTGGAGAGGAACCCGGATCCCTTGAACGACGAAGAGGAGGAGGGACGGGCATCAGAAGCGACACTGTCTGTGGATCGGCTTCTGAAATGACGACCAAGAGTCGACTCTGCCTTGGACTTCTTTGCCGGCGAGCTAGAATCCTTCTTGCCTCTGGAAAAGGTAAAGCTTCTTCCGCGGCTGCGCTTTGGTCTCTCCTCATCCTCATTAGGACTATTTGAGTCGCTGACAAGGGCCTGTTCGGAACTGCTCGTACTGCCTGTCGTACCTGTAGTTCCGGGCCCATCGGCTCTAGCGGCCTGCATCTCGGCGTAATCCTGACGGATAAACTCGAGCTTGATGGTGTCGGCCAAGTTACGCATCTTGTATCGCTGGTTTTCGGGAATGTTCCGACGATCCAGAAGAGCCTCCAGCTGCTGATCAATATCTTTTGGGTCGATTTGCAGTTCAGAGGACGTATTCGTCGGGGTCGTGACCGTGGATTTGGCGCGGCCATGGCCGAAAGGAACCTTACCACGAGGGGGTTGACCCGGGTGCAAAGACACGGGCCGCGTAGCACGACCGCCCGTCTTGGAGGGTGAAGAGGACTGAGAGGACTGTGAAAGATCGTGATGTGGCTTTGGAGGCTGGAACGACCTGGGGCGGTCCTTGGTAGCTTGAATTGGGGTGTTTTCAGAACTGCTCCCCTGCCTCATGGCTCGGTCGGAAGTGAACTGGGCGAAAATCGGCGGTGGTCGTTCATTGACAGGTGTCACAACGGGCGTCATATTCTCCTTATCTTTTGTTCGGCTCTCTTCTTCAGTAGCCAGCTTGTACAAGTTCTTGATCGACTTCGGTCGTGACAGCAGTCCTACGAGATTGGTTCCCGACTTGGTTTTCTTGGGCTTCTTGTCTGGCGATGGATCTCGGGACTTGGCCATCCGCGCCGTCTCCTTGTCGGTATTGGATCGGAATGTAAGCTTGCCCAGGGCAGACTTTGTGGGTGACTGGGCACCAGCTCGAGGTTCATCACGGAATTTTCTTGGAGAGCGAGGAGCGACATCCTGATGGTTCTGCTGCAGCTCACCCAAGGCACCAGGGTTATTCCGAACGAATTGTCCAGCCATGGTGATGTCGGAACAGCCAAGCTGTCCCTGAACAGGTGAGACAGTCGGCAACGCCTTGCCACTCGAGGGTTGTCGACGATGGAGAAAGGAAACTAGAAACGAGGGTGGCTTGGACGGGGAATTGCCTTTAGAACTGGGATTTTCGCCGCAGCTGCCGGATGCCATTGCCGGCGGTATAGACCAACGTGTCAGTTATCAAGGCGATTTCTCCCCAAAAAAACCGTTGGCCAAAACCGTTGCCAGACCCGGCCGTTAGCCCGTTATTGCCGCAGCCACAGACTGGTCTGTTGGTAGCAACGAAAACGGCCCCTTGAGCGTCTGCGTCGTCGTAGAGGAACAAAAAAAGAGAGGGTCAAGGCATAAAGAAAAAGCAAGCTTTGAGCAAGCGGCACCAGGAGGCGGCAACTAAGTTGGGGATGAAAGAAGTGAACTATTCTATACCATTGCTAATATAAAACAAAAAGGCGGAATGGATAAGTTTCTCGAGAAGCTGTCCTCTAGATCAGGTTTAGACCACCGTTGTTGACTAGCGGGGCCGTTGCTGTGGCGACCACCGTTATGGCTTATCTTATCGCCCTCGCCTGCCCACGCCTCGGCCTCGACCTCGCATTTGCATACTCGGTTGGACACGACCATTCCATGGCCACAGGTTGTGCGACCGAGAAATTGGGTATTGATGTGGCGGAGATGCAGGTGGTTGCTGGTGAGCATCTCGCCGTGCCGACGCCAGAGACACTCGTGGTTCATTATGAGCCGTCCGCTCAATGTCGCACCGCATTCAATGGAACCAGCCCGACGGTGATAATCCAGGATAGTACATGCGTTATGCGTTGAAACAACATGGAAGGCACATGCACAGTCGTGTTGTCAACAACGCCAGAGGCAGTGTCTCGCTGCATCTCGATTGCCTTCCCCCAACGCCGTCGAATCTAGCTTCAAGTTTTGAGTCTCAGCCCTAGGCCAAACATGTCTTACTCACGAGCCACAATATTCTCATCACGAGAAGCAGGAACCAGCAGTGGATGAAGAACTATGGTCATGTCTCATTTTGCCAATTCACGAACGGATATATAATGCATGTCCCTACCACTCCTCCCAGTCCTGATATACATATACACATGCAAATTGATTTAATTGCCAAAAGTGTCACAGAATCCACGGCCCCCTTGCCTCTCTCCTACTACCGACCTCTCCCGCAGTTAGAAAGTCTTGCCCTTGTAGCCCTTGGGTGACAAGACGACGTTATACTCGAGCTCCAGAACAGCCTTGTCATCGCCCTTCAATGGCTTAAAGTCGACCACAAGGTCGTCCTTGACGGCAAAGACGGTGTCAGTCTCCAGCCAGGGATCGTCCTTGGGATACAGCTGCGTGGTGCAGCCCCTGAACTCGGGATGGGTCACCTGTTGCACGAGAAGTTCATGTAAGTCAGCGTTTGCCAGGTTTTTTTCGTTTCTTCTTTACAAGCGTTTTTGACAGTCGCCCTTTGCAGACTTGGCTCTGGGACTCGTCAAACCGGGGGAGAAAGAAACATACCATGATGTGAAGGTGTGCAGGACGCATGGGATGACGGTCCATCAAGGTAAGAAGCTGGTAAGCCGGACCGTCGGTAGGTAACGAATAGGCCGTAGGGTGGTAGCAGTAGAACCAGTACTTGCCGTTGTCGTCGGCTGTGAATTTACCACGCAGGTTGTTGGGGGTCTGGTTCTCCGGGTCCTGGAAGTCGTATTTGCCGTTGGCGCTGGCCTGCCAGATGTCGAAGACGGCGCCGGGGATGGGCTTGCCGGTGAGGAGATCGGTGATGGTGCCGTGCATCTTGCACACGCGGCCCTTGGGGTTGGGATTCTGGATGATGGTGCTGCCGTTGTCGCGGAATGGCGCATTCGGGGACCAGAAGGGCCCGAGGATAGAGGATGAAGTTGGGTCGATGTCGCCTTCGGCGATGATTTTGTTGGCGATTTCATCGACGAGGCTGTTGTTGTTAAGGGAGTCAGCGGTGTTTTTCCATTGGTGCTTCTTTCTTCGTCCTTGGGTATGAAGGAAGTATATATAATACATGTCCATGTATGTATATACGGCGAAATAGATATATATATATATGTAGAGAGAGAGAGAGGGAGAGAGAAAGGGAGAGAAGAGAGAGACGGGCAAACATACGATTCAAGACCAAGAACATCAGAAATTCGGTGCGCCTCGTTCCTTGTCTTGGTGGACGTCTGTCCGATAAAGTTGACAAAGTGAACGCCGGTCATCCACTCGTCATTGGTCAGCTCAACCTCTCGCGCAAAGTCGTGCAGGTGTCTGATCAAGCTGCTGAGGACCTCGCGATTTCTGGGCGTCATGTTGGGACCCATGGTCTTGATAACATGACTGGTGAAGTTGGGATCGAAGCGACTGGTTGGTGCGGCAGAGGAGCCGTTTGTGAGACCGTTGGATGCCATGGTGAGAGGCGTATGAAGACGCAAAGCACTGAAATGTTGCAATTGGCAAAAGGGCAAGCAAAGAGCTCCGAGGTCGCTACTGCGGTCTTGTGGTCTTGGAGGCAAACAAGTTAAAGCTGAAAGTCTGAAAAGTAGCTCACTTGAAAAAACAAAGAAACACAAAAGCTGTTCAACGGGGGACTCGTGACAGATATATATTCCCCCCAGATGATCCAGCCATGGCAGGCTTCGGCATCAGGATGCGGATTACATTCGCACGCCCGCCGGTTGGCAAGCATTCACCCACGGCCCCCTCTTTGCCTGCAACTCATGTAAAACCCAACCCTAATCATGAGAAACATACACAGATCCGGCAGCCGAAACCCCGCAAAAAGGTCTTGAACCAAGCACTGCTAGTACGACTAGCACTGAATTACTGATTCACCCGGTCCAGGCGGACACTCCGTTCACAAGCCGGCTGCAGCATCCGGCGGATAACCCCGTTCCTATTGGCCAGAGTTTCTAGAATCTCGGATGACGGTGAATTGCCGCCAGAGGTTCCCGACCGCGTCACGGGCGCCTTGGTCACATTTTGGCCCGAGCTCAGCCAATGATGGGGGAGGGATCATTGTTTTACCTGAGCTGTCCATGCTGACATCATTCATGGTCCCGAGGCGCGAGATCGGAAGGAGTAGTAGTAATAGTAGATACGTACCGACTGAATGAATACGCATCTGCAATGACATTCGACATTCTATATTCTACATTCCCGCATTCATCGTGAATTCTGAATCATGAATACCTTAAACTCGACCTCGCAATAGCCCCGCGGGTGTCCAGTTGCCCTGGCACAAAGTATCAACTCACATCCAAACCTCACCTCTTCAGACTTCACGACGCACATCTACTGCAACACCACAACTCTAAACTCCAAACTCCAGCAATGCCCGTCCACCACCTCATGGTCGGCACCTGGACGCCGCCAGGAGCAATCTTCACTTTCGCCTTTGACGACCAAAAGCTCACCGTCGAGCTCATCAAGCGGACACCAATCCCTGAAGATGAACCCATTTCCTGGATGACTTTCGATGTAGAGCCTCCTCGCGACTTTCGCTTGATATCCCGAAGAAAAAATATCAAAAATCCTGACACACACAACAGCACTCCAAAAAGAACATCTACGGCGCCGCCATGAAGAAATGGTCCAGCTTCGCCGTCGAATCCCCCACAACCATCACCCACCAAGCCTCCCACCCAATGCTTCATCAACGTATGCATATCCCCCCTTTCCCTCCTCCTCCTTCATACTAAATCCCCAAACACCATGTAGCCGAAGCGTCGTCGCCGTCCACCAACACACGTGCCATCTTCCTCCTGGCCGCCAAGCAGCCACCCTACGCAGTATACTGCAACCCGTTCTACAGCCACGCCGGCCACGGCACCGTCTTCGCCTCATCCCCCTCGGGAGCCCTCGACACCGCCGTCCAGCACTACGCCTACCAGCCCGACTCAGGCATCCACGGCATGGTCTTCGACCCGTCAGAAACCTACCTCTACTCCGCAGACCTCAAGGCCAACAAGCTCTGGGTTCACCGGCGCCTGGCGGAAGCGCCCTCGCCCCCCCAGAGCGCGACTCTCGAGCTCGTCGGCAGCGTGGAATGCCCCGACGCCAGAGACCACCCCCGCTGGGTGGCCATGCACCCCTCGGGGAACTACCTGTACGCCCTCATGGAGAAGGGCAACCGGCTCTGCGAGTACCTCATTGATCCCGCGACGCACATGCCCGTCTACACGCACAGGCAGTACCCCCTCATCCCGCCTGGCATTCCCGACCCCTGGACCATGTATCGTGCCGATGTGTGCTCGCTGTCTCACTCGGGCGATTATCTGTTTGCCACCTCGAGGGCAAACGCGTTTGATTTGACAGGCTACATTGCCGCCTTTAAGCTGGCCAAGAACGGCGCCATCGAGAGACAGATATGCCTGAACCCTACACCCACCAGTGGCGGTCACAGCAATGCCGTCGCCCCCAGTGACTGGTGCGATGACTGGGTGGCCATCACCGATGACCAGGAAGGCTGGCTGGAGATTTATCGCTGGCAGGATGAGTTTTTAGCGCGCGTTGCTAGAGTGAGAGTGCCTGAGCCAGGATTCGGCATGAATGCCATTTGGTATGATTGAGGAATTTATTGGTTTTCGTTGCATAGCCATCTTCGACAATAGAATTGAGCACCATTTGAAACCTTTTCATCTTTGGCCCGTGCGGTATGAACCTGGCTCTTGAATCTTAGGAAATCAATTGTCCCACAACTCCCCCCCTAAAAAAATACCGACAATGACAATTAAAAAAACCTGACCCAAGTACACCAATGCGAAATGCTATTTTGTTTGTTAATTCCTCCGAACAATACAGTCTTCACCAATGGCCCATGACCAATAATAATATATATGAACCGCTCATATTCTCAATAAAAGCCGCTATTCCCACGTATCCCGGGTCATTGGCGCTCTGGCGTTTTGGATTTAGCCTTGTCCTTTTTTGACTTGTCGGATCCGTACCCGTTCTCCTGTCCGCCACCATTCAAGCTGATCGTATTGAGCAGAGGTGTTGACTCATCACCCTCCGTGACATCGTCCTGTTTAAGCACCGGTCCGTCAACCGGTCTGCCATTACCGTCACCCGCAACAAAAGTTGTCACACTCAGGCCCTGTTTAATCTTGAACACATTGGTCCGAGTATTTCGAGGATTAGCCGCACGGTTCGAGGGAGCCAGGTGTCGAAGTTGCTGTTTCATTTCGTCTAATGATGCCTTGAAGGGCACGGGTTTGTTGTTGGGTGTACCGTCTGGTCCAGCAGAGCCGCGCCGTTTCATAAAGGTGGCCGTCTTGGCAACCCTTTCTGGAACTCCTTCGCTCATCGCTCCAGGTGAGCCAACCAAGGGCTCGGGAAGATCAAGGTTTTCTGCAAGGTGAACCAGGGCTGCGCCATCTCCTGGTTTCCGGCCCACGGCGGCGGCGCCGGCTTCGGCATGAATGCGTCGGGCTCGAGGAGCCGGTGTCAGACGCCGAATCGCCTTGTGTACATCAACATACACGTCTGATTCGTCCACGATTTCCCTAAATTTACCGTAAGATACCGACCTTCATACAAATTTCAGTGTGAACTCACTCTCCGATAAGCTCCTCAATGACATCCTCCAGTGTAACAACGCCCAAAGCACCGTGATCAGATCCAGGATGATCCGATACCAAAACCATGTGAGATTTGCCTTCCTGGAAAAAGTTAATAATATCCAAGCAGCTGGTTTCTGGTCTGGTCTCAACAATGGCCCCAAGAGGAATTTCTCGGACAGGTATTCTGTCTTCCGGGTCGTATGTGATGAGAGTCTTGACGAGGAGCATGCCAACAAAGTCTGTAGCGTTGCCTGAGCGATAAATGGGGATGCGAGAGTAACCGGACGACAGAATATTATCCATTGTCTTTTCATCCAAAACGTGATCTTCAGCCAAAGTGAACACATCAGTCATGGGAGTCATGACCTCTGATACGGGTTTATCTTTGAGGTCCAGAACAGCGGTGATGATAGTCACTTCGTCTTGATTTAGTCGCTCGGACAGTTCTCCAAGAGACTTGTGAAGAGTCACTAGGGTCTTGAGGCCACTCTTTTTATACACTGTGCCATGGTCCTCGCCGAGGATCCAATCAAGTAGCTTCGCGGTTGGCCACGCAACAGGACTCATGAGGTACATTAATATGAGAACAGGTGTCGACATATATCCGCCAATAGGCAGGCCGTAGCGGACGCAGATAGACTGAGGGACGATTTCGCCAAAGATGACTATAAACTGAAGCGTTAGGGAAAATACTCCTTCCACAGGGGTTGCCAGTTGAAACTAACCAATGAGAACAGTACTGCCGACAACAGCAGCAACACCGCCACCCAATGTCCTATCGAGGACAACAGGCAACGATTCGTTCACAATAACGTTGGCGAGGAGCAAAGTAACGAGAACCCAATGCTTGCCCTTGTTCAACAAGCTCAACACTCTCTTGGCATTCTTGTATTGCGGTTCCATTGGATCGCCAGACACGACTTGAAGATAAATGCTATCTTGCCCCATCAAGCTATAGCAAAGACGTGGTCAGCATGGATGTCATGAATACCCGGACATCGGGCAGCTCAAGCAGTTGCATCGTGAGCTAGAGGACTGTCAACTTACGCAATGGTTAAGCCAGCAAAAGCCCCGCCAAGCAACACGAGGGCCATTGAGGCCACATAAAGCACCCACACGGGTGTCCCTTCGGGGTCATGATGACCATGCGGCTCTGTCTGGACCAATGGCGCAGCTGCGACGGACGACAAGCCAACGCCCAATACACGACCCATCCCCAGGACGCATGTTCGAAAGCTTGCAAAGCCTCCAGAGCCACCGTTACGTTGCATAATCGGCCGTAGAGAATACTCGGTATCAGAAGCGGGGAGATAATTGCCTGGACAAACAGTTGTCGCGCTCGTGGGGTTGAGAAAGTCCGACTGTTGATGCCTAGGACAGCGCTGGAAGTAGGCCGACGAGTACAAAAGATGTTCGATTAAAAAAACCTATAAAAGCCGATATAAGCTCTGACAAAATGGTTTTAATCTCAGTCCGTGGGCACAAGCGACTCCACGTCCACCAGTAGTTGGTTCTTGTGTAGGCGATCGCAAACTTTCGAAGGCGTCAAGGATGCAAGGGTTGGCGGTGGCGAAAGTAAATTCGGAGAATTACAATATTACCCGACCGATCGAATGGCGCTTGGCCGTGCGGCCACGATGCAGCAATGCGTCGTCAAGTCGTAGCTAGAATAGCCAGCAATGGATGAACGAGGTGACAAGAAGTTTAAGTTGGATGAGACTGCTGGAGCTGGTGCTAATAAATGTCTGCTGCTGTCTGCCATTGACGGATAACGGTGGGGACATGCTGAGCAGAACAACAGGCAGGTGCCACAGGCCCGTACCTGCTGTGACATTACTGCACACAAGAAGCTAGGGTGAGCGACGGAGGGTGGGGCCATATGCGCGTATTGATTAGCTGCATGTTCCGACTCTTTCAGGACCCTTGTACCTTTGGGAGGCTCTGGCCGCAATTTGCCAATCAGAACATCATCACTTCCATGATCTGTTCAAATGGTTTGGGAGCGATGATCTCGTTGATCAGTCAGGAACAGCCTACGCCAAGATGAGGCAATGTGCATAGCCTGTGTCGAGGGGGTAGATACATGCATCCTTACGTAAGACTGGTAGGCTTTCGATAAAAGAGTTTCTTCTCGAGACTCGCGTGGATGGGCTGGCGACCATCATCCCAATTATTACAGCCGTTGCAGTGGAGTCCAAACCGAGGTCTCCACGGATGCTTGTGCATGTCGCAATAATACTACAAGGTACCTACCGTAGTATGTACATATGTATGTAGGTATGTATTCTATCTGTACGTACATACATGCAATTGTATCCCCATTGCCCCATGAGGCAGTCAGTCAAGTGGCATGTTGGTTGTATCTTCAATTCAAAACTTGACGTTTTCCCCCCTTCGCCTCCCTTTTGTTGTTTTATAGGCTTGGAAAAGCTGCCTCATCACAATTGTATCAAGCTGACATCCAAAACACCTTCTGACTTGCGCAGTCCTTCCATAACTTTTGCGTCAACTTCGCCATCGACCCCCAGAATCATAAGAGCCTCATTGTCCTTCTGAGTCGGAGGCGTGTTGTGACCCTGTCGGGCTTCGGCATCAAGACTGGCCACCTGCATATATCGAATGTTAATGCCATGAGAGCCGAGGACCATGCCCACCCCACCAATCTTGCCAGGTTCATCGTAATTGTGAAGAATGATCAGAGTACCCTCGGGACTAAAGGTTGCGTTGAAGCAGTCCAATTTTGAAATATAAACCCTCTTGTCGGAGGCATATCCCTCTATGATTTGCTCTGTTTTGCCCCCGGTTGGCCCGTCGGCAATCGACTTCAAAGTCACCAGGTTTGAAAAAGTCATGTCTTTCGATTGGTGTACGTGTGTCTCGTTGATTATAATGCCCTTCTCTTTGGCGATAAGGGCGGCATTAACGATGTTGACGTAGGAGTCGCTAAACGAAGCTACAAGGCCCTTGACGAGAGCAGCAAAGAGTGGCTTCGTATTGGGCATCCCAGCCAGGCCGCCGTGATAGATGAGCTCAAACTTGCGATCGCCAATCATGCCTCCCTTGTCCTTGACGAAATGCTGGGTATAGAGGCGTCCCATTTTCTCGACCAGTTGCACCGCAGGTTGAAGCTTCCGGTACTCTTCCGGCAAGATTATGGGGGCATTGACGGCACTTGTCGGCAGGCCACCACGCAGGATCTCAAGCATCTGTGTGCATACGTCCATGGATACGTTTTCCTGTGCTTCCACCGTGGAAGCTCCTAGATGTGGTGTGGCCACGGTCTTGGGATGCCTGGCGAGCTGCGCAGCGACGGAATCAGGCGCAAGAGGCTCAGTGGTGAAGACATCCAAGCCTGCGCCAGCAATCCATCCTTCGTCTAGGCCCTTGAGAAGCGCGGCTTCATTGTAAACCCCACCTCGGGCGACGTTAAGAATCCGAGCCGTCTTCTTCATTGTCTTTAGCTCTGCCTCACCAATCAAATCCATTGTCGTTGCCAGCAGCGGTGTGTGAATGGTGAGGAAATCAACCTGTGGCAGCATGTCCTTGAGGCTTGGTACGAGCTCAACGCCTGCTTGGCGAGCAAGATCAGCACTGGCATAGGGGTCGACGGCTTTGACCTGCATTCCCAAGCCCTTGGCCATTCTGGCAACATTCAGGCCAACTTTGCCTAGGCCAACGATGCCGAGCGTCTTGCGACCAACCTCCACTCCAACAAGCTTGCTTCGCTCCCATTTTCCTTCTTTGATGGTCCCGTCGGCACGGCCAACATTTCTGGCCGTCGCTAGCAGCAGGGCAATGGTGTGCTCGGCGGCTGCCAAGATATTTCCTGCAGGAGAGTTGATGACAATGATGCCCTGCGTCGTAGCCGCTGGCACATTGATGTTGTCGACACCAACACCAGCACGTGCCACCACCTTGAGCTTCTTGCCTGCTTGCAGCACCTCTGGTGTGACTTTGGTTTCTGATCTAACGATGAGACCCTGATAGCTAGGGATGAGAGAAATGACTTCTTCGGCGGAAAGTCCCAGCTTGACATCGACATCGTAATGGGGTGTAAGCAGAGCAAGGCCGTCAGACGAGACTTTCTCGGGGACAAGAATACGAGCTCTCGCAGGAAGAGAGTCTGGTGTCAGATTTAAGAGGGCAGAGGGTGTCATGATGATGGGAAGGAGGAAAGAGGACCCCGAGTACGATTAGTTTCAGGCGCAGGGGTACAATAATGGTGCAAAGGCAAAGACTCGAAAGTAATCAGGTTGGAAGAGAGAAGGGACAGAAGAATCAGGGTCAAGGTCAGGGCCAGGGCCAGGCAAGGAAGGCTGGGGGGTAGAACTAGATTTATTAACCCATTGCCCAAAGCCAAAATGACGTTTATGGTTTCCTGCCACTCGGGTCAGACTGGATTGCCAGAGTGATTGCCATGTACTCTGTACGGCAACCCTTGGATGCAGGCAACCAGGGAGCGAATCGAAGTACTAGCTGGCGTACATGTTGGGCCGAATCAAATCTCTGTCCTAGCCAGACAGCCCAAATGCGTCCAGCATGAATGTGCCCTGTGGTTCCCGGTCGTGGTGATGCAAGCCAATGCGGACTGCATCCAGATGCCGCAGATGTTGCTTTGTCTGACTGGGGCGAATCATCAGGGTCGCCGGAGACGCTTTACCACCCATGTTTGCCATGCTACACGAACAGAATGACGGACGCTAATGGGTCAAGCCATACAAATGTCGAGGATTAGGCCTGCATGTTCTGAATGTCTCTCAAGGTGAGACATGTACTTTGTTGTGCGAGCAAGTTCTTTGCCCCTCCCCCGCCCTCGTCGTGGCTGACCCGTGTCTTCCATGTCCCGTAGCCTGTAGCCACGACCAGCACTTGAGACTTTGCGGACTTTGTGAGACCATGACCTGCAAACGTCGGCAGCGGATAGACAGACGCGTGCGGACCATTGGGGAGGCAAAAGAGGGTGAAGAGAGAGAGAGACTGGTTGCTGGCTGCTGGCGGGAAGGTTTAGGGGAGCGCCTCTGGACGGCTCCCCAGTCCAGATTGACAGAGCCAGTTTCGCCGCCACCGGGCTGCTTTTGAAGGCCCAGATGTGCATGGCGTTGCGATCAGTTTATGGTTGGTGGGAGGCGGGCAGCACGAAAATGGTCACGGCTTACAGAGTACAGAGTACGGAGTAGGGGTTAAGCAATGAGGAGCGAGTTGAGAGCTGGCAACTTTGACAGGGCAGCTGCTGGCTCGCTGCTCTACTTCCCCACGTTGCATCGGAATGGCTGACGACTGTGATGAACCTCTCCAACCTCGCGTGCTCTAAGCTCGAGCTGCTGAGCGAGACCAACGGCCCCACCACTGCGGGCTGGCCTGACCAAGATACCGACCCGGTACCTAGCAGTACTTTCCAAGCGCCTAGTGCCTGCCGGGAACTTAGGGAGGTGCCCAAGTACTCTGTCGTCCCTACTTCGTAACTTTACCCTGTCCGTCACCTGCATCGAATATTCAGCGCAATTGCCCTCAGAACAAAGGTCTGCCGAGCCCCTACGACATGCAGATTCTAACTTGTACGATGAACTGGCTATTCTTATTGAGCAGCGGGGCTTCAAGACGTGAGGTGATAATTCTTGGCGTCGAGCAAAGATTCCAACGCCAACTCTAAAAACCAGGTCGTTGCGTAATGTCGAGTGCACTTGGGTCAATCTCCAGCTCGGCCACATCCACGACAGCATCGTCAGACGCATCACGGCAATGGCCTGTCTCGAGTCTCGACAACCGCCCGTCGATTGGGCTTTCCAGCAAGGGACGGAATCTGTGTAAAAAAAAAATTGCTTCTTTTGCAATAATTGTGAGCACTTTCACTCGGTCTACTCCGTATTTGATTCAGTAGTCCTAACCCGTCACTGCAGAGATCAGCGCCAAGCTGTGCATGAGGCACCTGCAGCCACACCAGGTAAGCTGCTCCACGGCTTGTTCCCAGAGTCGCGCAATATCTCTCCTCTTCCCCTTGGCGCAGCGGGCGGGTATTCCAATGAGGCATCCCATCCAGAAGCCGACTGCTTGTTTCTTGTTTGCCTTGCGTATTCGTGAGGTGGATTCAACCTTGGCCGAAGGGCACGTTTCCTGCATACAATTGCCATTTGGGCCGTCACAGATTCGCAGGTTCTGTGGCGCAACAATATAACACTGTGTTGGTTGGTCTGGTAGACATTCAGGCCATGTCAATATATTGCGACGCCACCAGAGGATGGCGTACGGAATGCTTTATGCTTTGACACTTTACACAGTCCATTGTTTTTTGCCTATGGTTTCGCTGTGGCATGGGAATGCATCGCACAGCACCCCAAGGCTATCATTCTACATCTGGCCACTATAAGCAACACGTATTTGGTTTTGGCCAAACGAGAAGAATGAAAGTATGCCTACAGTTCTGGCATTAGCGCAACGCCATTCTGGCCTGCGTACCCCTGCATTACTTGCTTTATACGCTGTACTTGTCACTGTACTTGTCATTCTGTACAACCTCGACCCAGTAGCCATCCGGATCAAGCAAGAATGCCACGTTCCTCATGCGACCGTCTGTAAGTCGCTTCTTCCAATTACACTTGAGATCCTCGAAACGCTGGCAAGCAGCATCAAGGTCATCAACGGACACGCCTATCTACCAGTAAGAATGGGTCCTTTGAATTAAAATTTCGTTAGTCGACTAGAGGAGCACACTGGACTCACAGATATGCCCGAAACCCTGGGGTTCATCATTGCCATTGTGGTACTTAAAGTTGGCATCCTTCTCTGTGCCGTAGTTCCATGTCAGTTCGAGCAAGCCCTCACGGTTAGCCTGAGCAGTGCCCTGAGCCCCAGGGTATCCGAGGAAGTAGAGGTTGAATCCGGCAGCTTCATTCTCAGCAGTCTTTATGAGCGTCATTCCCATGACCTCTTGATAGAACTTTAGGGATTTTTCGGCATCTTTGACGCGAATCATGGTATGGTTCTGTCAAACATGTCAGGGAATTGATCACTTAGGCAGGGTCAGCCATGGGCTCCAGAGTCTCACCATTCGGTAGGTATTTGGATCAGTCTCCTTGATATTCTCAGTCTCCTCCAACGATTTCTGTCCAATGATTTCGACCCAGTAGCCATCAGGGTCCAGAACAAAGGCAATATGCTTCATCCGGCCATCAGTAAGCTTCTTTTGGAACTTGTATCCGGCATCCTCGAGACGCTGGCAAGCGGCCTGGATGTTGTCCACACTAATGCAGGTGTGGCCGAAGCCACGATGCGGCTCTTTGTTGCCGGTGTTCACGGTATAGTTGGGGTCGTTCTCAGTGCCGTAGTTGTGAGTCAGCTCGACAACACCTTCGCGGTTCACGTGGGAGTTGCCGTGGGAAACAGCCTGGGGACCGTTGTATCCCATAAAGTACAAATCAAACTTGGCCTCCGGGAATTCATATTTCTTGACTAGCGACATGCCCAAGAACTCGTAGAACTTGACTGCCATTCATCACGGACCATCAGCACGACTCCCGAAGTAGCCAAGGCCAGTGCACGCATCGCTGCAAAGTTCTGGAAAGCTCACCGGACTCCTTGGCATCCTTAACTCGAATCCTGGAAAATTTTACGTCAGCCAGGGCTCATTGGATAGGGATCAACGATACGGGTTCAGACTTGCATCGAGTGGTTAAACTTGTATGTGTTGGTGTTGGTTGTGGCCGCCATTGTTCTTAACTGCCGTCCTAGATGGGCTTAGCCTGAGCTCCGTGACCTTGGGATTGTCGTACGCAGTGGGTCACTGTACCTGGCTTAGGGACTTTGAGGGGCGATGAGATGGGCTGTAAAAGGCTCTTGATAATCTGGAGGCGTTGTGTGGCCCTCAAGGTGTTCATCAGGGTATGAACACTCCGGCTAAAGGTTGAAGTTGTCTATGTATGTTCACAACTAGAAGAGAGATAGAGGAGCGGAAACTCGTCGGCTTGTTGAAGAGCTGGTCTTGCCCCGCCATTCGTGCCCCGCCATTTTTGCTTTGTAATTGTCCAGATGTCATCATCAATTCACAGGCTGACCAGTCCCCTGACGTTAAAGTCATCTGGCTTGGCTGGGTTCTTGCAAGGCATCGCGAAAATTGAAATCGACACACTATGTCGTCGTGTTCAACGTCTCCTGTGACGACCGCAATTCACGGCGATTTGAACTGCTTCGTGGCAATGAGCACCGACGATCTAAAGCTACCTAAGTACCTAGGTACGTACATATACAACTTGCAAGAAAAGGTGGGGACGTTTTGGCATCCCGACGTGGACAACTGCTGTGTGAGCACTCTTCAGCTGCACTCGCATCCTCGCGAACTGCACATGTGGTCGATGATATTTTAGACATAGACCTCCTCTACGTGCTCTTTCCTACCACCTAGTACTGCCTACTTACCCAGGTACCTAGCAGGTAGGTAGGTAGGGTAGACAACGCCGCCAAACCTGCTACTCAACCGTAGTAGTACCTAGTACTAGGAATAGCCCAGACCAGTTAACATTGAACATCAAAGTGGGGCCATCATGGCGGGTATTTCGGGCGCGATTTGGCTTGTTCCCAGCCAGTCAGAGCTCGCCGCTGGCCACATCAGTTGACCCATTGATGGCTTCCTTGTCACCGCCCACCACATTGCAGACGTCTCTTCCTATTAGTGCCCACATCAGCCCAGCACGTACCATGGAGACGCGGCTCAACGACAACTCGAAACATTTGGAGCTTCTTCTGCCATAGCCGCCCATCGTTTCCTCACTTCGCAACCGCAGCAAAGTGTTTATAACTTGGCTCATGCGACCAACGCGCCTTAAACCGACTTCCCAGCCTATTTATATGCTTGAGTACCAATGGCTTCCCCCACGCCCTGAGCCTGCTCCCTTCGTCCCACCTCGAGTTGCAACGTCGTGAACAGTAGCGACCAGGACCTGACCCTGGGGAGACTTGCTTGAACTGGCCAAATTATCCAAGCACTCGAGCAGGGGGTCGTTGAATCGACCCAAAATGGCAGAATACAACATGGACGAGTCTGCCATCATGGACAGCGGTTCCCCCGGCGGTGGCCCAAGCGAAAGACTTGGCAGTCGCCATCGCGACTCGGCATACGACAGGTCGCCTCTTGCAAACAAGACGCGATCGTTGTCCGACGGCGGCGGAACACCATCCAAGCTGTCGCCATCACCACTCATTGTCGAAGCATCGCGAAGGACATCCAAGGACGACACGCATATCAAAGACGCGCAGCCGCCCTCGACGCCGCGACACTCTGACTTCAGGGGCCTCTCGTTGCAGATGGCTCCTCGACAGTTCACACCACCACCTGCCTCGAATGCCTATGTCAAGCCCCCGCCACTTTCTCCGAAACTCGATCACTCACAGATCTACGCGTCGCCGACCAATATTCTTCCCCGCAGGTCGCGTGGCCTCGACTTTTCTCGTGCTGCCACCAGCTTGCATCACTCCACCCTCGCTGAATCATCGCCAGACTCATCGCCTACTATCGGTGACCGGGCCATTAACATCCCCGATCGAGGGAACGAGTATGGCGGTCCTGAGCAAACCTCTTCATCACTCTGGTCTATTATGGGGAATCACGAGAAGATGAATATTAGCAGCTCTCTAGGAAGCACCAATCAGGTCGCAGTTGGCTCTGATTCATCCAGCTCCTCGGATGACGACGACTTGATGGATGAGGACATGGACGAGCCGTATCTTACAACCCCGCAAGTCTCCAAGACTACCAATATTGGGTCGACCGGACCATTTGGATCCCCTGCTATGAGCAGTCTCATGAACTTTCAGCAAAGACAACGCCACCGCAAACATCCCAAGAAGAAGGTACGGGGACCTTTGGGCCTTGGGTTCAACCTGGCTGCAGCCGCTCTGTCCAAGTCTCCGCCTAGCAACGGCGCGAAAGCAAGGAGGGAGAGTATCAGTTGGCAGGCCAACCAGCTACACATCTCTGCCGCCGATGGCTACGAAAGTGGAAAGTCCCAGAGCGATGCCGACGGCAATGGCGGCGGCGAGGGATCACAGAGAGGTGTTATTAAACGAGCTGTGACTCGCCGTGGCAATCTGCTTCCAAAAACTAAAACCTTTGCCCGAATCCGTGCAGCCCTTTTTGAAGAGGTTGCGCCAGCTGAGGCCGAAACTCGACGAGAAGCAGAAGTTGTTAAACAAGTCCGCGAAAGCGACGTCGCGCTTGAGCCCCGAGTTTCGCAAGCACCCGCTGAGTCTGGCCCGGCCGCTAGCGTTTTGTCGTCGCCAAACCTAACAAACAATGAACCTGTCGATGATCAAGAAGATGACGTGAATATGCTGAGCGACTTGGCCCCCGGGCTTTCTAGTAGCTTCAAACAGCAGGCCATCAAGAATTCCAAGGGGAAAACATTTTGGGACACGTTCTCAGAGTCGAGCAGCATGGGCGGAACGAGAACAACGCCACCTCCAGCAGCCTTTTTGCCCCGAGGGTCCTCTTCTGGTATGAGCGAAGACAATGGTATTGACTCTCCTGTACCTGGCCTTGCATCGGCACATTCTGCCTCGCAGAGCAGCAACGCGCAAGGGCCAAGCGCAGCAGAAATAACGCGCAGAATTAATAATAAGCGTCGCCGCGATGACGACTTTGACCCTGTCAGCTTCAAGAGACGAGCTGTCAGCCCCGGGATGAGTGCCCATAACTCACCCATCTTACAGAGCCCTATGCAGCGCGACTCGGCGCCATGGGGTTCTCGCCCCGGCAGCACTGGAGGCGACAAAGCTGGTAGCAGTGCTCAGAGCGAGACGGGAAGCGTTAGTGGCGGCACCCCAGCGAACCCTGCAGCCGGGACAACTGGGCGACTAAACAGCAAAGGAAGAATAGGATTCCAGGGTATGGTTGATACCAACGACGGTATAATGCGGATGAGCATTGAATAGTAACGGATGCTGGATGGGCGCATGGAAAAGGAGCAATGATACTCTCTGGCGCATTATTTTGGGGCATGTGCATTACGGAGTAATTGCTGGTGCATGAGCAGGCGTTTGTTTTAATCGGTGTATTATGGCGTATGGATCAACATTTGCCGTTGAAGTCATGGCAGCAAACGCATTTCTGGACTTTATGTTTCACCATGGGCGCTGTTTAGTAGCCGAGAAATCAGCATGTCCTATGGACGTCAAAAATTTGTACAGTTTGAACATGAGCGTTATATCATTACAAGTCAACATGACAGTTAGTGTAATTGTTCTAGTCGTCTCGGTTCACGGAAGCATAAACGACCCAAGTCACGCTGAGAGTCATTAATGGCGTGTGTCTGCAGCTGTAAATCGGACACACGGGTTTGCAAATGTTGTGAGACATTGATATCTAGAGAGACGCGCTAAAACAAGGCCCATGGAGGTGTTTTTTTTAAAAGAAACAAAGAAGAAACACCTCGTGCCGTGAGAGATGAAATACTTCCTAAATCATATGCCGTACTCCTCCTTGCCAACGCCAGTAAATGCCCCATACGCTGACTCTGCCGTCAGAAGAATGCAAAACCAGCCTCGACCGACCCCTAACCCTACCGTCTTTCTTTTGTTTTCGTGCTTTCAATCGCTTGACCCGACCCCTTCCTCTGGAACCCGCAACGTGCCCAGCTTGTCGTCCAGCCAGCGCGCCAAGTCTGCCGCGTGCCTCCTCATGGCGACGACGGAAGCGGCGCCCACGCTGTCCAGACTCGACGTCGTTTGGGCCCCGGCGCTGACCAGGCTCTCCACCTCGCTCGGGCTGCCCGTCACATCGCCGTTTTCGTGCTGCAAATGCACGTCGGACTGGAGGTCGTGCGCCGAGGGACCGACACATACAAACAGCAGGCCGCACTTGAGACGGCGGATGATGACGGTCCCGCCGCTGAGCTGGACTGTGATGGTGACGGGTTTGACGGACCTGGCGGCTCTTCTCCTGGCGGCTGCCCTTTTGGAGGCCGCGACATCGTGAGGCGCTACATCGTCGTCGTCGTCTTCGTCCTCTTTATCCGAGGTGTCGGGCCGGAGGATGGGCGAGCTGGTGATGGGATCGGGGGTTCGCGAGCCGGGCAGCGCGGAGGGGACGTCTACCGAGGAAGATGTGTGGATGGCGAGGAGGGAGGCCGCGACGGTAGCATGCGTGCGGAGGACAGACACCGGGTGCGGGCTTGCGTGGGCGAGAAGTTTGCCGTGGCATGTGGTGAGGAGGAGCGTGGGCAGCTGAGGGGTCTGGTTGGCGTGTAGAAAGGCGTTGAGGCGCTTCGTCAGGAGGAGAGGCGGCGTTGAGTTCGGGAGAGCCATTTCTGTCCTTGGGCTCTCACGGTCGGCGAGTCGTCGCGACGTGAAGTCGGTGATGGAGATGTTCGGCAGGGCGGTGACGGCTTACGCTGACTGAATGGGGTGGCCGTGACAGGCGATGCCGGGCGGGGGGGTGGTGATGCTCGTGAGAATGACGTTGGCACGCTGGACAATGCGTTGCGTGGTGTGGTTCGACGTGGATTGCTGTTGGAGGCTCAAGGTTGAGTTGTTTCAGCTCGGTACGTCTAGCTGCCTGATGCTCTGAATGGCTGGCGGTTCGGCTCTGGAGGGAGGCGCGACCCACGCCGGCCGTTTCTGTGCCGGGTGGCAGGCGCCTGTACGGCTCCCTGGGATCAATTGATGTCAATTTGAAGGCCATTTTGATGCTGGAATCTGAGGTCCCGGGCTTCTTTCCCTGATGGTCATTCAATGGCAACCAGACATGAGCATGAACTTTTGGACCGCGCAGTAAGAGTTAGAGGCCCCTGGCTGTGTTTCTTCTTTGCTACAGGGTTGATGACTTTTATTGAACAGAGTGTCCGTAAGGCGTCGATTGAAATCTATGTGGCATGAAATCTGTGTTCGTAAAGACGACATCTGGATTCCACAATGGGGAAGTCACTTATGCGAGCCGACCTGACACTGTCGTCGGCTCATGCTGGATAGTAAGTAATGCCTCACTGTCCATCCACCTCGGCAGTGTTGCATGAGCCGGCAGACTCGACTGTGATGATGAAACACTACGTGATGTCATGTATAAATCCCCGCACGCATGGGCATTTTGGTAACTTTACGAGTTGATTGCGGTCACGGCGAGCTGGTGCGCGATATCGAATAAAGAATTGACATACCGAGTAAAACACAACGTGCTGCACGTTGGATGCTGAAAAGAGAACCAAGTTAAGAAGGGACGTATTCTGAAGGAGCATGCAGCTCCGACAACAGTCACGGAAGAGGCCGCCATCCGCTCGAGGGGGGAAGCTCCTCACACTATATCTGTAACAGTCGATCGTTTTGATCGTCCAACCGACACACGAGTCGCGTTCGCGTTGGTTAAAGGGCGGCAGAATTGAAACACTGGACAAGAACCCGTACGACGTCTAAGACCCTCTCTGTGTACCACGGCAATTGACAATCATCTGTCCATGCCAGCAGCAATATGCAACTACAGTCGGCAGACATGCCTCGAAAAATATCCGGCGTGTCGTGTCCAATGAGGCTTGCAGTTGTACTCCGTGGTTCAAGACAGAGTCACACGTCAACAAGGCGGGAGATGAGGTCTGCAAAACCGGCAGCCGCCCTGAGCATGCGTTTCATGGTCGACAGGCCTTTTGCAAGCGCGGCCGAGGCCACGATTTGTTATCGCATTGAAGCATGCGGCGGCAAAGAGACGTCTTGAATGGAAACGTGCATGCAGTGACCGTCCAAATCGACGGATTGACTCGAGAGTTGGAAAAAAATGACTTGAGAGCCGCTGGCCATCTGTTGGAATGACATGGTCAAGTTGGATAAAAGAGAGTGGGGGCCATAGGCGTTTGGGCAGTGGCCCAAGGCAGGCACAGGGCAGGCACAGGGCAGGACAGACCCATCGTCAAGCGAATTAGACCAATCAGAATCCTGTCCCTTACAGCAACAGCGGCGGCTCCACCACATGCGCCCAGGCACCCTTGCAGCTTGCCCAGAACGGCCAATTGGCGTGGGGATGGACTGTTTCAACATTTGAATCTTGGTCAATTGACGCCAGAGGTTCAGGCTGCTCAATACAACATTGGCCTGGTCGAGTCTGGGGAAGGGAGATGTTGGGCCGTCATCTGCACTTCTGCTCATTCCGGTCAACGAGGCACCCGGTCAATTGGAGGGAACATTTGAAGAGGGCACTTGCATCTTCAACTCCCACACCAGCCGCCAGCCTCTTCATTCCAACGTGAACAAAGCCACTGGCGCTTCTCCCACCTGCCACATCTCGGCGCGTGTCTCGTCTCGAATCGTGCCACCTCGAATTATCGTACATGACATTTGCCGTCTGCTACACTACTTTGAGTAGTTACTGGCTGGCCCCCGAATTCTCGATACCTGGCCTTGAAACCAGACGGCCTGCATCGACCAGGGCCATCAGGCCAGAGTAGTATTCCGCAGCGCTTTCCGAACGTGCCGTCTCAGTCTCTCTTCTTGGTACTACTACTCTATTGTTATTCCTTACGTTTCGTTGGTTTTTATTTGCCGCCTGGGAGGTTGCTTGCGACGACTGCGACTCTCTCGTCTCTGCCTCTATTGTATTCCTGTGACGATCGCCTTGGGCCGCAGTCATCCGTGTTTGGAAGTCATGGGCAACGTACAATAGCGGTCTAGCGCAAGACGTCTCCGCTCGTCTTGACGTTGCCATCAAAGAGAACGCTTCTGCTCGCCGTCTGATGTACCTCTTCGAATATTATATCTCTACTTGGAAAGAAGGGCTATTCCAGGGCGAGGAGCGAAGTGTGCTGACGGCAGGACCGCGACACTGTGAAGCTCTCTCAAAGCTACCAAAGCAAATACACTCGCGCGAATAGCACGCGGATTTTCTTTTTCAGCTGCCGAAGCCCGCTGGACCGCTGGACCGCTGGACCGCTGGACCGCTGGACCGCTGGACCGCTGGACCGCTGGACCGACAGACGACGCCATCATCGACAAAATGGGCTGTGCAAGCAATCGAAAGAAGCAGACTCGAGAATTCCTCGACCAGAAATGGGACTATATTAACCTGCAAGATTTCAGGGCCAAGGGCTGCGGCCCGGGCTTTGCATATGGTTATTTGTGGTTTATGCTGATAATCTCGATCGCTGTCTACGCCGTCGACAGCTTCACTGCAGTGAATTTACTGGCCTTTGACCAGTGGTCATCTAAAATCGAGCCCGCTATTCCATTCAACGTCTCCAAGTGGATCTTCTCCATTTGCATCCTTCTCTCGTTTGTCAATCTTGCATTCGAAGGTGTGCGAGCCTTCCGTGTGATGAGGCGTGGTAATGTGGCCGAATGCTTCCTCGACAGCTTAGCAGTTCGCTGGGAGTCAATTCGTTTCGGATCTGGTCAGGGTTGGAGGCGATTCTTGGTCTTTGCGGAGCTCACCAAAAGTAAAAAAGGATCTGAATACGTGGCCCTGTTCACTTACTTCAGCTTCAAGTGTACGTCTCTGCCTCGAGCCCGCTTGCATCGTCTACTTGATTTTTTTTTTAGCTAACTTTTTGCTTGCAGCATGGATTCGCGTCATCTTCTGCTCTGGTCCACGTCAGGTTGTAAATGCTCTGACGTTGAGATCAGTATACGTAGCCAAGTTGGCGCCAACCGCCACGAGCGTTGATGGAGCCATCCTGGGCTTCTTCGATAAGGTCAAGGTGCTGGCTTCGGAGGATTATCAGCAGGCAGTCATCTTATCAGGCATGTGTTTCACCTTGGTCGTTTGGGTTTTCTCGGCTTTGTTCCTGTTGATGGCGGTGTTTTTCTACGTCTTTTTCCTGTTTCATTGGATTCCTCGCGCCGACGGTGGTTTGAGTGGGTACTGTGAAAGAAAAGTCAACAAGAAGCTTTTGCGCATCGTCACGACCAAAGTTAATAAGGCTCTTGCCAAGGGGCAGGCGGACAGGTTCAAGGCAGAATTGGAACTTGCCAAGAAGAGTGGTGAGAAGGTGCCGTATCTGGACCGAGCGGCTACACTGCCAACACTGCCCAACGTTCAGCCTGGCATGGATGACAGCCTTCCTCGAATGCCTACCGGGTGGCAGGATGAGAAGGCGACCATTGTGCAGATGTATGCGTCTAGCCTTGGCTCACCTGGGAGCATCGAATTAAGCTCCATCGATGGCAGACGACCAATGCACCGAACTGGTACTTCTGGATCAGGCTCGAGCTACTCATCCCGGGCTCCTCTGGTATCATCTGCAGCAGACATGGCATACGGTCCACCACAATCACTGGCTACCGGCCTCCCAGATTTCGACTTGATGAGCGGCATGGGCCCGCCAGCTCGGCCCGGTACATCCAACTCACAACGGAGCTTTTCCAACGGGCGACCTGGCTACGGACATGTGGCAAATGGCTCAACGGGCATTCCTCTGAGAACCATCACTGCCAGCCCTGCCTTAACGGAGCGCAGCTTGCCTGCGTACCCAGGTCTTATGAGAACACAGACCAACGGTTCGATGGGCAGCAACTATGGCGCGCGACCTCCTACAAGCAGAGGCAACACTGATCCAATGGGATTTGAAACATCATCTCTTCCATATCCACAATACAACCAATACAACCCCTACGATGGCCTTGGTGGCCGGGAGATGCCAGCTCCATCTTACGGAAACAGCGGCGGTCCTCCCCCACCGGTTCGGAGCGTGACTGGGCCAGCGGGGCAAATTGTGCCTCACCAAGAGGGAGCTCAATATTATCCTCCGCAGAGAAACATGACGTCGCCAATGCCACTCAGAGGATATGCAGACGGCCAGCCCCAGGGCATGTCACCAGGCTACCACATAGAACCATATGGATACGATGTCGAATCACAACAGAATCGTGGATACTATTAAGATTGAGCTACGGAGTAGGATATCAGGATATCAGATATATGCACCCACTGACCGGCTCAGGGTTGTAATTTGGGATATGACATTTAACGACATTCGTTTTTTTTTCTTTCTTTCTTTTACTCTCTTCCATAGGAAACGAGGCGTTGGGCTTGGGCAGGGACGATGTCTACGAATGAAACTTGCAGCATATCTTTTTATTTTTTTCAACATCAGAATAGATACCCGCGCAAGTAGGGCTGGAGGGAGTTGGAGGCAGTTTTGAGTTGCCGGCTTGGACCTTGGGCTCCATGGGTGGCAATGTTGGAGGCTGCCGGAAACAAGGTTTTATCAGACGGCGATTGATTACTCCGTGCCATAGCTACCGCATTGGATAGTAACTGTCATCAGATGAAATACTATGTGCATTGATTCCAAAGAGCGGTTACCGTGGCGCCCAGTCCCCCTCTCCAT